TTCTTCCATGCCAGGCGCGGTGGTTCATGCCTGTAATCTCAGCACTTTGGGAGGCCTAGGCGGGCGGATCACCTGAGGTCGGGAGTTCGAGACCAGCTTGACCAACATGGAGAAACCCCATCTCTATTAAAAATACAAAATTAGCCGGGCGTGGTGGCCTGCCCCTGTAATCCCAGCTACTTGGGAGGCTGAGGCAGGAGAATCACTTGAACCCGGGAAGCGGAGGTTGTGGTGACCTGAGATTGTGCTGTTGCACTCCAGTCTGGGCAACAAGAACAAAATTAGGTCTCAAAAAAAAGGAAAAAGAAGTATGCTCTTCCAGGAAGCTTCACTGACACCCCTTGGCTGGGTCACATGCCTCCTCTGGGCTCCCACATCTCCATCCCAGCACAGGGCCTGACACATGGGAGTTGAGGCAAGTTAGATTGAATGAACAAATTAAACACACAGCACACTCACGGAGATGAAGAGACAGGAAAAGGGGGCCAACAGCACAATACAGGTTCGCTTCTTAAATGAGCGGTAGGTATGGCCCTCTGCGCTCACGGGGGGGCACGAAACTGTCCTAAGGGTGTGGGCGACAGCAGGCGGGCACTGGGGAGCCACGGAAAGGTGGGGATCGGGGAGGGCGGATCGCTAACTGCAAATGAATGAAAGTTGCATTTCTCTGCAAGTCGCACGCTATCCTGTCCCAAGTTGTTTTCTTCTAAAGGAATTTCCTAAAGAATCGCCCCCCAAGGCGCCCCCTACCCAGACCTGGCATCCCAGCGCTGTGCACACCTCGGGGTTCCAGATCCTTGATCTCGTGACCTCCGACCTGCAGTGACCTCGCCAACCGCCGCGGCCGCCCCGCCACGCCCCTGCCCGCCCGATCTCCTCCGCCGGCCACGTACGCCACTTACGCAGCCGGGGCGTCCCCGCCGCCGCTGCCGCCGCCAAGCCTGCCGGGTGCATCCTTCGCCTTCGCCTTCGCCTTCGCCGCCGTCGCCGCCGCCGCCTCAGCCGCGGTTCGGAACGTGCCCGCCCGGCTCCCGTACCCACGCCCCGCCGGCGAAGAGACAGCCAATGGACGTCAGGATTGAGGGAAGGCCACGCCCTCCCACGGAGGCCTTGGCGAGTGGGCGGTGCCTTACGTAAGAGGCGGAGACTGGGTTACTGGGCTCCTGCTGTAAAGCGAGTCAGGGCCTGAGGGGCAGGAGGGCGGGGCCGTGAACAACCCCAGGAGGAGGCGGTGTCTGCTATGACAGAAAGTGACTGTGTCTGCCCTTTGCGGGGGCTCACGCCGGTAACTCCAGCACTTTGGTAGGCCGAGGCGGGAGGATGGCTTGAGCCCAGGGGTTCGAGACTAGCCTGAGCAACATAGTGACCTCGCCCCACCTCATCCCTACAAAGTTGTTTTTTTTTGTTTGTTCTGTTGTTTTGTTTTTTTGTTTTTTGTTTTAATTTAGCCAAGCGCAGTGACTTATGCCTGTAATCTCAGCACTCTGGAAGGCCGAGGATCGCTTGAGCCCAGGAGTTCGAGACCAGCCTGGGCAACAGCAAGACCTCCATCGCTACAAAACATTTTTTAAAATGTAAATATCGAGCGAAAGGGTCGATGGGAAATGCAGTTCTCTACAGACAGGCGTTCAATTTGGGTCGTTGAGAGCACTGGAGAGCCAGAGAAGGCTGTGGAGCAGGGAAAAGAGAAACATTTGTGTTCCTGAGGGGCTAATAGGAGTTGTAGGGGCTTATACAATTTTTGACAGCCCTTAGGTATTAAAGTAATTATTTATTTATTTTGAGACAGGGTCTTGCTCTGTTTCCCAGGCTGCCTCGGACCCCCTGGGCTCAAGTGATCCTCCTGCCTCAGCCTCCCCAGTAACTGGGACCACAGGCATGCACCACCATGCCCAGCTAATTTTTAGTCAAAACAGGATCTTGCTATATTGCCCAGGCTGGTCTCGAATTCCTGGGCTCAAGCCATCCTCCTGCTTCAGCCTCCTAAAGCGTTAGGATGACAGACATGAGCCACAGTGCCCAGCCTTAAAGTGAATATTTACAGTGAGAAAAGGAAATCCAACAAGTTAGGTGAGAAGAACCAGGTGTCTCTCTTGGAAGAGATCTTAAGGCAGTTTCCCAGAAATTCATAAAAATGTTCTCACATTGCAACCTGGTTCCCTCTGTCCACCAAAAGCATTCTACAACCCCCAGCAACTCATAGCACACAGGTGCACCTGCAAGTGAAGAGCCCTGCCGACCAAGCGTCCTTAGTCTCTCCCCTCTCTGCCCCTCAGTCTCCCCCTTTCTCTCCCTCTCAGACTCCCCGACTTATCTCAGGAAAACATAGTGGTGGAAGTTACTTCTGCGCAGCGATAGCACATCCGGAAGGATGTCAGCAAGTGACCCTATCGCTGTGGCTTCCCCTTCCTCCTCTGAGACATTGTCTTTTTGGGGACCCTAAGGCCTGCTCCTGGTTTCTCAGTGATGAGTCCTGGCTCCACTGTTGTTCCTTTTTGTGAGTGAAATTCTCGCATTCTTTTTTTTTTTTTTGAGGCGGAGTCTGGCTCTCTTGCCCAGGCTGGAGTGCAGTGGCCGGATCTCAGCTCACTGCAAGCTCCGCCTTCTGGGTTCACGCCATTCTCCTGCCTCAGCCTCCTGAGTAGCTGGGACTACAGGCGCCCACGACCTCGCCCGGCTAGTTTTTTGTATTTTTCAGTAGAGACGGGGTTTCACTGTGTTAGCCAGGATGGTCTCGATCTCCTGACCTCGTGATCCGCCCATCTCGGCCTCCCAAAGTGCTGGGATTACAGGCTTGAGCCACCGCACCCAGCCAAATTCTCGCATTCTTCTTCACCTCTGATTTAGCCTCTGTCCCCTGGGCTCCAACACCATTTTCTCCTCATCCTCAGCCCTCTCTCTTGCTCTGGTTGCTCCAGATACATCTCTTCTATAATTTTTTTTTTTTTTGAGATGGAGTCTTGCTCTGTTGCCCAGGCTGGAGTGCAGTGGTGCGATCTCAGCTCACTGCAACCTTTGCCTCCTGGGTTCAAGCGATTCTCCTGCTTCAGCCTCCCGAGTAGCTGGGATTACAGTTATGCGCCACCATACCTGGCTAATTTTTTGTATTTTTAGTAGAGATGGGGTTTTGCCGTGTTGGCCAGGCTGGTCTCGAACTCCTGACCTCAGGTGATCCACCTGCCTCGGCCTCCCAAAGCGCTGAGATTACAGGCGTGAGTCACCGCGCCCAGCCTTATATATATGTTTTTAATTAATAAAGCAAGCTGCCAGGTACGGCGGATCACGCCTGTAATCCGAGCACTTTGGGAGGCCAAGGCGGGCAGATCGCCTGAGGTCAGTTCGAGACCATGCTGGCCAACATGGCGAAACCCTGTCTCTACTCAAAATACAAAAATTAGCTGGGTGTTGTGACAGGCACCTATAATTCCAGTGACTTGGGAGGCTGAGGCAGGAAAATTGCTTGAACCCAGGAGGCAGAGGTTGCAGTGAGCCGAGATTATGCCATTGCACTCTAGCCTGGGAGACAGAGCAAGACTCTTGTCTCAAAAAAAACAAAAAACAAAAAAAGCAAGTTCATTGGCTTCCCGCTGGCCTCATGTTCACCCTTTACCAATTATGTGACTACTACTTTTTATTTTTTTGAGGCAGGGTCTCACTCCATCACCCATACTGGAGTGCAGTGATGTGATCGTAACTCATTACAGCCTCTAATTCCTGGGCTCAATCGATCCTCCTGCCTCAGCCTCCCAAGTAGCTGGGACTACAGGCGCATGCCACCCTGCTTGGCTAATTTTTGTATTTTTTGTCGAGATGGGTTTTTCCATGTTGCCCAAGCTGGTCTCAAATGACTACTTCATTTTTAAGCCTAAACTTTCTCATCTGTTTGGTGGGAATCATACTGGGAGGGGGCAGCGGGGGAGGGGGCAGTTGAGAATTCAGTGCGAGTTCAGGTGTCCACAGGGCCTGGCAGAATGTAAGCCTTCCATCACTGGCACCTACTGTGTTACTGTTTCTATTATCAGGTGCCTCTACTTCTGGATTGTCAACCCCAAGTTGGGCTCTGCCCCGTGATCTGCCAGCTCTTTAATAGAACCACCTGGGGCATGTCTGAGCTGAGCCCCAAGCCCCACTCCTCTGCCAGTCAGATGGGGTCAGGACTCTGGGCTGCCCTCCGAAAGGCTCTCAGGAAGGCCCTGAGTTCTGGCTGGAGTCAGAAGTGGAGAGATTTACAGGAGGGGCACAGAAGGAAAGCTTTCCTCTTAAATAGAGGCATGTATTTGTGATTCCGCCTGGCTCGTTTCCATTCATCCTTCATGCTTCAGCTCAGCTAGCCCCTTCCTCAGGAAGCTCTCTTGACCTCCCTAGGCATGGTTGGTTGCTTCCTCTGGACTCTTTCTTTCTTTTTTTAGAGATGGGGTCTCACTCTCTCTTCCAGGCATAGCTCACTGCAGCCTCGAACTCCTGGGCTCACGCAATCCTCCGACCTCAGCCTCCCGAGTAGCTGGGACATCAGGTGTGGGTCGCTCTTGTGTCTGTCTCCCAGTTAGACTGGGAGCCCCATGGATGCATGGCACAGGACCGTCTCATCATTACTGAGTCTCCAGGATCATCCAGCGAGGGGTCGGCACAAAATGGGCACTGAACAAAGATTTGGTGAGTAGCTGAGGATTCCCACTCTGTCCACGCGGGCACAGGGGACACCTGACCCTGTGGTGCCCGCTGTTCCCACTCCAAGGCACACGACTTGGCGAATGGAGCGAGAATTGGATTTCTTTTTTTTTTTTTTTTTTTGAGACGGAGTCTCGCTCTGTCACCCAGGCTGGAGTGCAGTGGTGGGATCTCAGCTCACTGCAAGCTCCGCCTCCCGGGTTCACGCCATTCTTCTGCCTCAGCCTCCCGAGTAGCTGGGACTACAGGCACCTGCCACCTCGCCCGGCTAAGTTTTTGTATTTTTAGTAGAGACGGGGTTTCACTGTGTTAGCCAGGATGGTCTCGATCTCCTGACCTCGTGATCCGCCCGTCTCGGCCTCCCAAAGTGCTGGGATTACAGGCTTGAGCCACCGCGCCCGGCCTAAGAATTGGATTTCAGTTTGCCCCTTTGCTCCGTCAGCCGCGCGCCCTGATGCAGTGCACAACCTTAGCTGCTGTGCGCGGTAGGGGGTGACTCCTCGGCCTGCGACCTGAAAGGAAAGTTCAGATTCCTCTAACATAGTGAACCAGCCTTGCAGGAGGACGAGAAGGAAGGAATGAGGGGAAGAGAGGACTGCTTCCACCTTTTCCATCCCGTTGGTCTCCTGGGTCTGGGAGCGCTGGGCTCCACCCTCTCTGAACTAACACCTGGCAGTTGGGCGTGCCTCAGTTTCCCGGAGGCGGGGCATTCCTCCGTCGCCGCCCCCCACCTCCCCTTTTTCCTCTTCCTCTTGGGGCTTCTGCGGCCGCGCCTCTAGCACTCCCGGAACTGAAACTAGGTGCCAGACGGTCCGGAGGCGGGGGCCACGTCAGCGGGGCCACCCCGGGCTCGCGGGGTCCCGGCGGGCGCCATGCGGAGGGGCGCGCTCCTGGCGGGCGCGCTGGCCGTATACGTCGCGTACCTGGTGCTGGGCGCGCTGCTGGTGGCGCGGCTGGAGGGGCCGCACGAAGCCCAGCTCCGAGCCGAGCTGGAGACACTGCGGGCGCAGCTGCTGCAGCGCAGCCCATGTGTGGCGGCCCCTGCCCTGGACGCCTTCGTGGAACGAGTGTTGGCGGCCGGACGGCTGGGGCGCATAGTGCTTGCCAACGCTTCGGGGTCCGCCAACGCCTCGGACCCTGCCTGGGACTTCGCCTCTGCTCTCTTCTTCGCCAGCACGCTGGTCACCACCGTGGGTAGGTAAGCGCCGCCCCGCAAGGCGGCGAGGACCGGGATCCTCACTTCATCCTTACCCCCTGAGGACCCTAGAACCCTCACGAATACCCTTATTCCAATCCCCTCAGGGCTTCGGATCCCCTGAAAAGACCCCCGTGAGGACCCGGGACCCACGCTCATGATATCCGCTCTGCTCCGGGAGCCCAAGTCCGAGCCCTTCCTCCTAAGTAGGAAACACCCAGCTCCCCTCAGAGTACCTTTGCAGAGAACACCCTTTGCAGGGACCCCGTTCCTCGGTCTTTTTTCTTTTTCTTCTTTTGAGACAGGGCTCACTGTGTCACCCAGGCTGGAGTGCAGTGGCACGATCTCCGATCACTGCAGCCTCTGCTTACCGGTTTCAAGTTATTCTCCTGCTTCAGCCTGCCCAGTAGCTGGGATTACAGGCACATACCACCATGCCTGGCTAATTTTTGTATTTTTAGTGGAGTTTCATCAGTTGGCCAGGCTAGTCTCGAACTCCTGACCCCAGGTGATCAGCCCGCCTCGCCCTCCCAAAGTGCTGGCATTACAGGCGTGAGCCACTGCACTGGGACTCCATTCCCCGGTCTTAATCCTCCTGGTGACCCGGGTCTGTCCAGTCCTCTCTAAGCCTAGGACTGTCCTCAGAGATCTCCAGCAAGGACCTAGGATCCTCTGCCCTCCAAAGGAGATCTTTGCTCCCTCTGGACCCAGATCCCAACCATGCCAGGACCCCTGACTTTATCTCTAGTCTGGGTCTGCCACCCTTGCCATGTCTCCTGACCCTCCAGATATGTCTTTCTGGGAAACCCCCCTGGAGAAACCCCATCTCAACCTTCTCCTGACCCTGGCGCCCCAGCGAGGACCCTAAATCTCCAGACCTCTCAGGGTGTCCTCACTAAAGACCTCCCTCCCAGCAGAGATTCCTCAGCAAGGACCTGGCACCACCATCTGGGACTCCTGCCCCTCTGGACCTAGGCCTCTGCTCCAGACCCCCGTCCCTCTCCTGGCCCCACACTCCCCAGCAGGCAACTCTGACCCCAGACACAAAAGCCATCCCTACGTACCCCACCCCATCTTGACATCTCCCCCATATGGGGTCACCCTCAGTGCAGGGTTTTCCTCCCAATAGGGACACCACCTGTTCCCTCTGGACCTGGGACTCCCAATTCAGCAGCCCCAGCTAGGGATGTGTCAAAAGGACCCACAGTGGAGGAACCCCGAGTTTTGGGAAACCCTGAGAAGCCAGACTTGGGAAATCTCTTTGTTGCCAGGCTCTGCTGCTCCCCCAGCCCCTTCTCAGCCCCCAGACTTCCTCTTTATTTCTTTGTTGGGGATTTGTTGAGGAGAGGAGGCTGGCGCAGGGCTAGCCCAGACTCCTAACTCCCCCTCCCGACCAGCAATAGGGGGCAGCTTTTGCTTTTGGTCCCCTGGCAGCAGAGCTGGGGGACTTCTCATTAGCTGACCTCCCCTGGGGCCTGCCCACGCTGCCAGGGCGGCCCGACCTGCTTCTGAGCTTCCCTGGGTCATGTGCGCGCTTCCTGCCTCTTCCCCGATCTTGGCTTCTAAGAAGTCATCCCTGGCAGGGCAGGTGAGGGAAGCCAGACACAGTCAGGCACAGCCCGGCCGCATCCCTGCTCAGCCACGGCTCATTGCCAGGCTTCAGTGTCCTCCCCCGTTGCTAAAATGGAGATAATAACACTCCCCATTTCCCTGTAATAGCAATAGCCTGACAGAGGACTTGCCAGTGCATGCTTTAACTCACTTAATCATCACAACAGCCTTGTGAGGCAGGCACCTTTATAGGCTCTATATTTTTAGCCATGGAAACCGAGGCCTAGAGAAGTTCGGTAACTTTCCCAAGATCACACAGCAAAGATGGCATAGAGTGGAGATTTAGTCAAGGCCATCAGGCTGCAGACTCCCATGCTGCTAGCCAACAGACCACACTACTTAGAAGAAGGATGCTGTGTGTGTTGTAAAAGAAAAAAAATATGCTAACACTTGTTAAAAACGGAAAGTTATTGTGGTAGAGGAGAGACCATTGCAAAGGCCAGAGAGACTGAATATAGCAAACACAGCTGGAGATTTACGGCTAACAAGTAGAATAAGGGAGTCAGTGGATAGAAGAATACTAAGAGGAGAGACATCGGGGTAGGGGGATTCTTGCTAAACTCAGCTTAACAAGATTCTTGCTAAAGACAGGCCAAGGGGCCGGGCGCGGTGGCTCAAGCCTGTAATCCCAGCACTTTGGGAGGCCGAGGCGGGTGGATCACGAGGTCAGGAGATCGAGACTATCCTGGCTAACATGGTGAAACCCCGTCTCTACTAAAAATACAAAAAACGGCCGGGCGCGGTGGCTCAAGCCTGTAATCCCAGCACTTTGGGAGGCCGAGACGGGCGGATCACGAGGTCTGGAGATCGAGACCATCCTGGCTAACACGGTGAAACCCCGTCTCTATTAAGAAATACAAAAAACTAGCCGGGCGAGGTGGCGGGCGCCTGTAGTCCCAGCTACTCGGGAGCCTGAGGCCGGAGAATGGCGTAAACCCGGGAGGCGGAGCTTGCAGTGAGCTGAGATCCGGCCACTGCACTCCAGCCTGGGTGACAGAGCGAGACTCCGTCTCAAAAAAAAAAATAAATAAATAAAATAAAAATAAAAATACAAAAAACTAGCCGGGCGTGGTGGCGGGCGCCTGTAGTCTCAGCTACTTGGGAGGCTGAGGCGGGAGAATGGCGTAAATCCGGGAGGCGGAGCTTGCAGTGAGCCGAGATCACGCCACTGCACTCCAGCCTGGGAGACAAAGCGAGACTCCGTCTCAAAAAAAAAAAAAAAAAAAAAAAAAAAAGACAGGCCAAGGACTTAGATATCAAGAGGGGGTAGATGAGGGCCAGGTGCAGTGGCTCATGCCTGTAATCCCAGCACTTTGGAAGGCCGAGGTGGGCAGATCACCTGAGGTTAGGAGTTTGAGACCAGCCTGACCAACATGGTGAAACCCCGTCTACTAAAAATACAAAAATCAACCAAGCGTTGTGGCAGGTGCCTGTAATTCCTGCTACTCGGGAGGCTGAGGCAGGAGAATCACTTGAACCTGGGAGGCAGAGGTTGCAATAAGCTGAGATCATGCCACTGCACTCCAACCAGGGCAACAGAGTGAGACTCTGTCTCAAAAAAACAAAAAACAGGCCGGGCGCGGTGGCTCATGTCTGTAATCCCAGCACTTTGGGAGGCCGAGGCTGGCGGATCACGAGGTCAGGAGATTCAGACCATCCTGGCTAACATGGTGAAACCCCGTCTCTACTAAAAAAAAAAAATACAAAAAAACTAGCCAGGTGAGGTGGCGGGCGCCTGTAGTCCCAGCTACTGGGGAGGCTGAGGCCGGAGAATGGCGTGAACCCGGGAGGCGGAGCTTGCTGTGAGCCGAGATCCGGCCACTGCACTCCAGCCTGGGCCACAGAGGGAGACTCTGTCTCAAAAAACAAACAAACAAACAAACAAACAAAAGAGTGGTGGATGAGGAATTTGATCAGATATCGGGGAGGGTGGCTTGTAGGATTCTTGCTAAAACTGGGCCTACTTAAGGACTTAGGAGTCAGACGGAAGTGTAGTCAAGGAGGGAGTCTTTGTCCGTGTGAAGCACTGGTAATGACTGATGTTTACTGAGTTAATGTTGACTGTTTTCATTGTGGGCAAAGCCTTGAATACATCTGGAGAAATGGAAAACCAATTAAACATGATTCAGAGAGACCTCTTCCCACAATGCCCTTCATTTGGTCATAGGCCCAAGTCTTGGCCCTGGAATTGATCCGGGCAGCCTTGCTGCACTTGAGGCAGGAGGAAGCGGGTAGTCCTACCCGGAACTGGGAATTGGAGAGAGGAAGTGAGCATTGCAATCCTTGTAACTCTTTCCACGCTCTTGCTAGGCGCTATGCCCTATCCCAACCTGGTAGGATTACTACCACATTTGAGGAAGGGATTGTTTGTTGTTTTTGAGATAGGGCCTCGCTCTGTCACCCAGGCTAGAGTGCAGTGGCGCAGTCATAGCTCACTGCAGCCTTGACCTCTTGGGCTTAAGTGAGCCTCCCACCTCAGCCTCCTGAGTAGTTGGAACCGTGGGTGCATGCTACTGCGCCCAGCTAATTTTTTTTTTTTTTTTTTTGTAGAAGGTTGTCTCCTTAGGTTGCCCAGGCTGGTCTCAAAATCCTCCTAGGCTCAAGCGGTTCTCCTGCCTTGGCCTCCCAAAGTGCTGGAATTACAGGTGTAAGCCACCTTGCCCAGCCAGGAAGGTACTACTTAACAAGCCCATTTTTGCGGAATAGGGAACTGAGGCTCAGAGGGGAGGAGTCATTTGGCCAAATTCATGCAGGGAGTAAATGGCAAAACACTGTTTTGGACTCAGCTCTTTGAAATAGTAACTTGAGGCTCACAGGCCCCATGCTTTTCAAACTCTATGATTTGGCCGGGCGCAGTGGCTCAAGCCTGTAATCCCAGCACTTTGGGAGGCCGAGAGGGTGGATCACGAGGTCAGGAGATCGAAACCATCCTGGCTAACATGGTGAAACCCTGTCTCTACTAAAAATACAAAAGCTAGCCGGGCGAGGTGGCGGGCGCCTGTAGTCCCAGCTACTTGGGAGGCTGAGGCAGGAGAATGGCGTGAACCCGAGGGCGGAGCTTGCAGTGAGCTGAGATCCGGCCACTGCACTCCAGCCTGGGCGACAGAGTGAGACTCCGTCTCAAAAAAAAAAAAAAAAAAAAAAAACAAACAAACAAAAAAAAAATGTATCAAACTCTATGATTTGTCTATAAAGATTTCTCTTTTATTATTATTATTATTTTTTATAGAGACAGGGTCTTCCTATGTTACCAACTCTGCTGGTGTTGAACTCCTGGGCTCAAGTAATCCTCCCACCTCGGCCTCCCAAAGTGCTGGGATTATAGGAATGAGCCACCTCACCCGGCCTATTTATAAGGATTTCATGTCATTTGCAAGCCTTCCAGGCTGCTGGAGTTTCCCCATCAAAAACCCTTGTATTAATAAGGGTTGGAGTCATACGTGGTACACCTCAAATTACAGTTGCTTAAATAAGAAGTGTATTTCTTGTTCACATTCCAGATAGTCAGTCCAAGTGGTACTGCATGGTCAGAGACCTAGGACTCCTTCTCAGCAAAACCCTGGTGTTCCTGCCTAACTCCTCTGCGCAACTTCCATTCCCAAGGTCACCTAATGGTCCAAGATGGCTGTGTAGCTCCAGCCTCCATGTCTGTGCTCCAGCCAGCAAGAGGAGGGAGGAAAGAAGGGAGACTGGCATCCCTCGTGCCTTAAGGACCCTTCCTGGAAGTTGCCTGACTCTTTCATGAATACCTCAGTGGCCAGAAATTAGTTGCAGAACCACACCTGGCTCTGCAAGCGGGAAGGGAATGTCCTTATTCCAAAAGGCCATGTAGCCAGCTAAGACCCAGAGGGAGCCTTTTTATTATTATTATTATTGTTATTATTTTTTAAAGTAGAGATAGGGTCTTCCTGTGTTGCCCAGGCTAGTCTCAAATTCCTGGGCTCAAGTGATCCTCCCACCTCAGCCCCCCAGAGGGCTGGGATTACAGGTGTGAACCACCATTGCCCAGCTGGGATCATTTCTTTTCCCAATTTTTTTATTGTAGTAAAATATACATAACATAAAAAGTACCATCTTGGCCGGGCGCGGTGGCTCAAGCCTGTAATCCCAGCACTTTGGGAGGCCAAGACGGGCGGATCACGAGGTCAGGAGATCGAGACCATCCTGGCTAACACAGTGAAACCCCGTCTCTACTAAAAAAAAAAAAAAAATACAAAAACTAGCCGGGCGAGGTGGCGGGCGCCTGTAGTCCCAGCTACTTGGGAGGCTGATACAGGAGATTGGCGTAAACCCGGGAGGCGGAGCTTGCAGTGAGCTGAGATCCGGCCACTGCACTCCAGCCTGGGCGACAGAGCGAGACTCCGTCTCAACAACAACAACAAAAAAAGTACCATCTTAGTCATTTTTAAGGGTACAGTTCGGTGACATTAAGTACATTCATATTGTTACCATCACTTTCATCTTTTTTTTTTTTTAATAGATACGAGGCTGGCCATGCCACATGGGAGATGGAGTTATTGCTCAACTCAAATCACTCTCCACCACCATCCATCTCTAAAACTTTTTTTTTTTGAGACGGAGTCTTGCTCTGTCACACAGACTGGAGTGCAGTGGCACAATCTCGGCTCACTGTAACCTCCGCCTCCCAGGTTAAAGTGATTCTTCTGACTCAGCCTCCCGAGTAGCTGGGACTACAGGCGCAAGCCACTATGCCCGGCTAATTTTTGCAGTTTTAGTAGAGACAGGGTTTCATATTGGTCAGGCTGGTCTTGAACTCCTGACCTCATAATCTGCCCGCCTAGGCCTCCCAAAGTGCTGGGATTATAGGCGTGAGCCCTGGCGCCCAGCCTCTGGAACTGTTTTCATCTTGCAGAACTGAAATTCTATACCCATTAAACCCTAACTGCCCATTCGCCCTTTTCCCTAGCCCCTGGCAACCACCATTCTACTTTCTGTCTCTGAAGTTGACTAACTACTTTGTATAGAATAATACAGTGTCTGTCCTTTTATGACTGGTTTGTTTCACTGAGCATAATGTCGTTAACGTTCATCCATGTTGTATCATGTGTCAGAATTTCCTTCCTTTTTAAGGCTACATAACATCCCACTGTATGCGTAAACCACATTTTACTTATTCATTAATCCGTAGATGGAAACGTGTTGCTTCTGAGGTTTAGTTATTGTGAATAATGCTGTTATGAACATGGGTATACAGATACAGATATCCCTTTGAGACCCTGCTTTAGGTTCTTTTGAGTATATAAAAAAACGGGGCTGGGTGTGGTGGCTCACACCTGTAATCCTAGCACTTTGGGAGGCCGAGGCAGGTGGATCACCTGAGGTCAGGAGTTTGAGACCAACCTGGCCAAAATACTAAAAATACAAAATTAGCCAGGCGTGGTGGCGCATGCCTGTAGTCCCAGCTACTCGGGAGGCTGAGGCAGGAGAATCACTTGAACCTGGGAGGCAGAGGTTGCAGGGAGCCAAGATCGCCCCATTGCACTCTAGCCTGGGCAACAAGAGCGAAACTCCATCTCAAAAATAAATAAATTACACTTTGCCAAAGTGAGTCAGTCCCACCAACAGCTGAATTCCCCTTGATCATATTTCTGCTTACAGAATTCATACCCACACCGAGCTTATTGTGTTCCCACAGTCCTTTGGGAGCCCAGGGGGGCTTGTCACACCAATTTTCCTTTTTTATTTTTATTTTTTTGAGACAGAGTCTCACTCTGGGGCACAATGGTGCAATCTTGGCTCACTGCAACCTCTGTCTCCTGGCATTAAGCGATTCCCCCACCTCAGCCCCCAAGTAGCTGGGATTACAGGCATATGCCACAATACCCGGCTAATTTTTGTACTTTTTGGTAGAGACAGAGTTTCACCATGTTGGCCAGGCTGGTCTCGAACTCCTGACCTCAGGTGACCTGCTCTCTTGGCTTCCCAAAGTGCTGGGATTACAGGCGTGAGCCACCACGCCTGGCCCATTGTCTCACCCATTTTAGAATAGGGCAAACTGAAGCTCAGAGCCAGGCAACAGCCTGCACCCTTCATTCTTTGTTTTGACAAGTACTAATCGAGTGCCCACAGCAGTGATGAAACACACAGAACCTCCTGCTTTGCTGAACTGGCAGCCTATGAGAAGACGGTAAACCATAGAGCGTGCTAGAAGGTATTAAGTGCTATGGGAAAAAAAAGCGTTGGGTAAGAGGATGTTACCATTTAGGGTGGTCAAGGGAAGGCCTCACTGAGAAGGTGACATTTGGATGAAGAAGACCTGGAGAGGAGAGAGGGGAGCATTCTTTGGGGAAGGAGCAGCCGGTGCAATGGCCGTGGGGTGGGAGCGTGCTGCCCCGGTGGACCCTGTGGGGCTTCACGGGTCATGATGAGCACTCTTTCCTTTTACCTGAGTGAGATGGGGCCACAGAGGGGCTCTGGGCAGGGCAGGGGCGTGACTGAACTCAGGTGTTGGCAGGCTCTGCTGGCTGAACAGATTGTAGGGGCTGGGGTTGGGGAAGGGAGACCCAGGAGGAGGCTGCTGTGGTGGACAGGACCAGGGTAGGGGCCATGGGACCGGGTGGGGGAGAAGTAATTGGGTTCTGGGCCTATTTGAAGGTTGAGATAATAGGCTTCACTGACAGATGGAGTGTGGCATGAGTGACGAGGGCGTCAGGGATGAAGGCAAGGCTCTTGGACTGAACGTCGAAGGACAGAGGTGCCATCACCTGGGACAGGAGGGAATGTGGGGAGAGGCAGGTTTGGGATGAAATCAGGTCTAGGTGTGTGTCCATAGATATCTCGGTGGAGCAGATATCTGAGTGGGCAGAAGGATTTTCCCTGGCTAGGTCCTGGGGGCTAGATCTGTAACTCCACACAGTCCCCTTCCAACACCTTGGAAGGCAAAGGCAGGAGGATCACTAGAGCCCAGAAGCTCAAGACTAGCCTGGGCAACAGAGTAGGACCCCATCTCTACAAAAAAATTTAAAATCAACTGGGCGTGCTGGACAGTGCCTGTAGTCCCAGCTACTTGGGAGGCTGAGGTGGGAGGATCACTTGGGTCCAGGAGTTCAAGACTGCAGTGAGCTATGATGGCACCACTGCACTCCAGCCTAGGTGACAGAGTGATCCCCCCATCTCTAAAAAGAAAAAGATTTCCCCTTTACTCTCTTTACTCCCCTAGGCTATGGGTACACAACGCCACTGACTGACGCGGGCAAGGCCTTCTCCATTGCCTTCGCGCTCCTGGGCGTGCCGACCACTATGCTGCTGCTGACTGCGTCAGCGCAGCGCCTGTCGCTGCTGCTGACTCACGCGCCCCTGTCTTGGCTGAGCATGCGTTGGGGCTGGGACCCCCGGCGGGCGGCCTGCTGGCACTTGGTGGCCCTGCTGGGGGTCGTAGTGACCATCTGCTTTCTGGTGCCGGCTGCGATCTTCGCCCACCTGGAGGAGGCCTGGAGCTTCCTAGATGCCTTCTACTTCTGCTTTATCTCTCTGTCCACCATTGGCCTGGGCGACTACGTGCCCGGGGAAGCCCCTGGCCAGCCCTACCGGGCCCTCTACAAGGTGCTGGTCACAGGTGAGCTGGGAAGCTAGGGCGGGGCTTTGAGGAGGACCTAGCCCTGTCCCTGGGGGAGTTAAAGGCACACAGTCCCACTCTGGGACTTCCAAAAGGGATCCAACCCCACCCCGCAGGGTCCAGTAGAACCACGGCCCTGCCAGGAAGATCTGAGCCCCAGGATGACCTATGCCCCTCCTCTGCCTCCACAGTCTACCTCTTCCTGGGCCTGGTGGCCATGGTGCTGGTGCTACAGACCTTCCGCCACGTGTCCGACCTCCACGGCCTCACGGAGCTCATCCTACTGCCCCCACCGTGCCCTGCCAGCTTCAACGAGGATGAGGACGATCGGGTGGACATCCTGGGCCCCCAGCCGGGGTTGCACCAGCAACTCTCTGCCAGCTCCCACACCGACTACGCTTCCATCCCCAGGTAGCTGGGGCAGGCTCTGCCAGCCTTGGGTGTGCCTGGCCTGGGACTGAGGGGCCCAGGCGACCAGAGCTGGCTGTACAGGAGTGTCTGCGAGCACAGCAGGCGATCCTGAGGCCTTGCTGCCCACCATCTCTCCTTTGTTTCCCAGCATCTGGCTGGGATGTGAGGGGCGGCACCCCCTGTCCCCATGTCCCGGGCTCCACTGGGCATCAACATGACCTTGTTCTCCATCCTTTCTCTCATCCTCTTTACACTGTGCCTCTCTGGCTCTCTGGTGTTCTCGCTGTCTCTGTCTTTCCCTCTTGCTGTCTCTGTTTCTCATTCTCTTTCATGTTCTGTCTGTGTCTCTCAATTAACCACTCGTCAATTGCTGATTCTACCGGGCTGCAGCCTCGGACCTCATTTCAGGCACCAGATTGGTCACTACACCCTGGACAAGTGACTGACCCTCTCTGAGCCTTGATTTCCTCAGCTGCCAAATGGGAAGAATAGACGAATTCACCCCTAAACCCCTCCTGTGCGCTGGCCCTGTGCTAGACAGTGCTGGAGATATAGTTGGGGGTGGAGAACTGCCCTTATGGAGCTTGCAGTCCAGTGAGGTGGACAGACCTGTCCCAGACAGTGATGGCCCAAAATGGGCAGGACTTTAATGGAGGAGGTGAGGTGATAAAAGCACAGGCAGAGTGGTCAGGGCTGAAGTCGGAGAAGCACAGGGACTAGGCCCAATCCAGCCTAGAAGGTCAGGGAGGACTTCCTGGAGGAAGGGACATTGAACTAAGACCTGAACTATGAGAAATAGGTGGGAAGAAGTTGTACCTGACTCATTTTTCTCAGGTGTCTCCAGGGAGCAGGACCCATGGAGGGAGCCCTGGTGTAGGCCTAGGCGGTAGACTCTTCCTCAGCAGCCTGGCAGGCAGGAAATGGACATAGGACCCAAGCCCAGATCTGAATGGCATGGAGGTGCTGCCCGTAACCCTGACACCATTGTAAGAGCTGTCCCCATTTGTATGTTGTGCTAATTGTATGTTGTGTCCTGGGCCCTGGAATCATCCTTGTTGAGCTCAAATCCCAACTTAGCCTTATCTGGCCTGTGTCCTTGGGCAGTCACCCTACCTCTCTGATTTCCTTTCCTTATCTGTAAAATGGTAATCATCATAATACAACTTCAAAAGATGATTTCAGGCTGAGTGTGGTGGCTCACGCCTATACGCCCAGCACTTTGGAAGGCTGAGGAAGGAGGATCGCTTGAGGCCAGGAGTTTGAGACTAGCCTGGGCAACACAGTGAGACCTTATCTCAACAACAACCACAAAATCTAAAAATTAGCTGGGTGTGGTGGTGCGTGCCTGTGATCCCGGCTACTCCAGAGGCTGAGGTGGAAGGATCACTTGAGGCCAGGAGTTTGAGGCTGCAGTGAGTTATGACGCCACTGCTGCACTCCAGCCTGGGGGACAGAGTGAGACCCTGTCTCTAAGAAAAAGAAAAGAAAAGAAAAAAGAGAAAGAGAAAGAGACCGGGTGCAGTGACTCAGTCCTATAATCCCAGCACCTTGGTAGGGCCAAGGTGGGAAGATCGCTTGAGGCCAGGAGTTTGAGACCAGCCTGGCCATCATAGCAAGACCCCATCTGTACAAAAATTTAAAATTTTAAAAGGGCTGAGGCATTTGAGCCAGGTCCCAACAGTAGACAAATAGAAAAGGCATGGAGAGGGCATGCCAGGTGGGAGCAGCTGTGTGCAAAGGCCTGGAGATGGAAAAGCATGCTGGCCACCAGCTTCTGACAAGCAGTTTACTGTGAACGGTATGGAGGGAAAGAGGGAAGGAGGACAGAGGGGTGGGCACAAGCACCCCTTAGTGTCCTTAAATGACAAGCGAGGGAACCTGGTCTCTTTCCTGAGGGCCCTAGAGAGCCATGGAAGGGTTTAGAGTAGGAGAGGGTCGTGGTTAGGTTTGGGTTGTAGGATGATTCCCCTAGTTGCTCTGGAGAGGTGGAGCAGACGGGGGACTGAGGCTGGGTGCCTGTGGGAGGCTGGGGCAGGAATGAAGAGGGAGATGATGGGTCTGGGCTGAGCCATGTAAGGGAGGAGGGGTGGGTGCGGGGACACTCAGAAGCCAGGTGGACAGGTCACAGGCCTCACAGACTGGAGGAATGCGGCTAGGGAAGGGCCCATGGAGTGGCCAATTATCCCTGAGATGGGGACCTGGGAGAAAGAGCAGGTTTTATCGGAGATGCTGAGGCTGCTTTAGTATATGGTGGGTGCGAGGGGCAAAAGGGACACCCAGGGGTGTATCAAGAGGTCATAGGCAGGCAGGCCAGGTGTCTCACACCTGTAATCCCAGCACTTTGGGAGGCCAAGGCGGGTGGATCACCTGAGGACAGGAGTTCGAGACCAGCCTGGCCAACATGGTGAAATCCCCTCTCTACTAAAAATACAAAAATTACCTGGGCGTGGTGGTGCACACGCCTGTAGTCCTAGCTACTTGGGAGGCTGAGACAGAATTGCTTGAACCCGGGAGATGGAGGCTGCAGTGGGCCGAGATTGCACCACTGCACTCCAGCCTGGGTGACACAGAGACTCTGTCTCAAAAAAAAAAAAGAGGTCATAGGGGCTGGGCATAGTGGCTCTCACCTATAATCCTAGCAAATCCTAGCACTTTGGGAGGCCGAGGTAGGAGGATTGCCTGAGCCAAGGGGTTCAAGACCAGCCTGAGCAACATAAAATACAAAACATACAAAAATTAGCTGGGTGTGGTGGTGTGCACCTGTGGTCCCAGCTACTCAGGAGGCTGAGGTGGGAGGATCACTTGAGCCTGGGAGGTCAAGGCTGCAGTGAGCTGTGATTGCACCACTGCATTCCAGCTTGGGTGACAGAGCAAGACCCTGTCTCAAAAAAGAAAAAAAAAGAAAAAAGAAAATACTTATATTGGATATACTATGTGCCAGACACGATTCCAAGCCCCTGATACATTCTCTAGATTTTACAGATGAGGAAAGGAGATCCAGAGACGTTAAATACTTGCCCAAGGTCACACAGAAAGTACAACACTGGGATTTGAACAAGGTTTTGGTTGGGCATCTTTTCCTGTGGGAGCTCAGAAATATCTGTTGTCTAGCCCTTTCTCAGCCTCCCATCCTTCTCGGTTCCTTACCTATGTCACAGTTGACTTTGAGCTAAAGTCATCTCAGGGCGGCTAGGTGCCTATGTGAGCTGGCGTCATTTCTCACTGTTTTTCCTTCCAAATACCTCCAGGAAAAAAAAGCAAGTCCTTTTCGGTCCAAGACATTAAAAAAGCCAGGCACAGTGGCTCATGCCGTAATCCCAACACTTTGGGAGGCTGAGGCAGGAGGATTGCTTGAGCCCGGGAGTTGGAGACCAGCCTGGACATGTTAACATAGCAAGACCCCTCTACAGAAAATGTTAAAAATGAGCTGGGTGTGGTGGCGCATACCTGTAGTCCCAGTTACTCAGGAGGCTGAGGCAGGAGGATTGCTTGAGCCTAGGAGGTTGAGGCTGCAGTGAGTCATGATCACACCACTGGACTCCAGCCTGGGCTACAGATCAAGACCCTGTCCCAGGAGAAAAAAAAGGTCCAGGCACAGTGGCTCATGCCTGTAATTCCAGTACTTTGGGAGGCCGAAGCAGGCAGATCACGAGGTCAGGAGATCAAGACCATTCTGGCTAACACAGTGAAACCCCGTCTCTACTAAAAATACAGAAAATTAGCTGGGTGTGGTGGCACGCGCCTGTGATCACAGCTACTCGGGAGGCTGAGGTAGGAGAATCACTTGAACCCGGGAGGTGGAGGTTGCAGTTAGCCGAGATCATGCCATTGCACTCCAGCCTGGGAGATAGAGCAAGACTCTGTCTCAAAAAAAAAAAAAAAAAAAAAAAAAAGAAAAGAAAAAAGAAAAAAAGTGTGTACTAAAAAAATTCAACAGGTACTAAAGAATATATGGTGGAAAGTAAGTCTTTCTCCTGCACTCAGACCATGAATGGATGTCTCAGTTCTTCTCAGGCACATTCGATGTATGCACCAGCCATATGCATGTGTGTGCCATTTACTTTTCACTCTACACAAGTAGTACCTAATATGGTGAGGTTGTTACGATTACAGACTTTAGAGGCAAAGTTCCTGGGTGTAAATCTGAACTCCGTCACTCCCAAGCTAAGTGGCTTTGGGCAAGTGATTTCATTTCCCTGTGCCTCAGTTTGCTAGTCTGTACAATGGGATGGTAATAGCACCTACCTCATGGACTTAAGAAGTCAGCAACTTCATATCTGTACAGCCCTTAGAGCTAGCAGTATGTGGCACTCAATAAAATGTTGACTAATGATGATTCTTACTTCTGTAATATGCTTTTTTTGTATCAATTATAAATATTAATATTTTAATGTCACTTTTCTATTCTTCTTCTGTACCTTGCTTTTGTCACCAACACAGTGTAATTCAGAGATAATTTCAGAGACACACAATAGGTCTTTTTTATTTTATTTTATTTTATTTTATTTTTTCTTTTTTGAGACCAAGCCTCGCTCTGTCACCCAGGCTGGAGTGCAGTGGCAAGATCTCGGCTCACTGCAACCTCCACCTCCTAGGTTCAAGCGATTCTCCTGCCTCAGCCTCCCGATTAGCTGGGATTACAGGCACCTGCCACTGTGCCTGGCTCATTTTTGTATTTTTAGTAGAGACAGGGTTTCACCATGTTGGCCAGGCTGGTCTCGAACCCTAGACCTCAAGTGATCCATCCGCCTCAGCCTCCCAAAGTGCTGGGATTACAGGCGTGAGCTACCACACCTAGCCACAATAGGTCTTATATCTTATGGTGCCTCCTCTGGGACACATGTCCCATAAATAATTTCAACATCCCCTGTTGATGATATGTGGGTGTTTTCCAGTATTTTGCTGGTACAACAATGCTGCAGCAAACATCTTGCGGTTTAAGATCTAATGAAGGCATCGAGTGAGGCAGGAGTTCAAGACTGCACTGGGCAACATAGCAAGACCCTCCCTGTACAAAAAATTTAAAAATTAGCCGGGTGTGGTGGAACACCAGCTATTCAGGAGGCTGCGGCAGGAGGATCACTCCAACCCAGATGTTTGGGACTAGCTTGGACAGCATGTGAGACCTCATCTCTGCTGGGCATGGTGACTCATGTCTGTAATTCCAGCACTTAGGGAGGCTGAGATGGGAGGATTGCTTGAGGCCAGGAGTTTTAGACCAGACTGGTCAAAATGGTGAGACCCTATCTCTATTTTTTTTTTTTTTTTTTTTTTTTTTTTGAGATGGAGTCTCGCTCTGCCGCCCAGGCTGGAGTGCAGTGGCCGGATCTCAGCTCACTGCAGGCTCCGCCTCCCGGGTTCACGCAATTCTCCTGCCTCAGCCTCCCCAGTAGCTGGGACTACAGGCGCCCGCCACCTCGCCCGGCTAGTTTTTTGTATTTTTTAGTAGAGACGGGGTTTCACCGTGTCAGCCAGGATGGTCTCGATCTCCTGACCTCGTGATCCACCCGCCTCGGCCTCCCAAAGTGCTGGGATTACAGGCTTGAGCCACCGCGCCCGGCCTATTTTTTTTTTAAGATGAAAAAAGGTCGGGTGCAATGACGCACATCTGTAATCCCAGCACGTTGGGAGGCTGAAGCAGGTGGATCGCTTTAAGTCAGGAGTTCGAGACCAGCCTGGCCAACATGGTGAAACTTCATCTCTACTAAAAATACAAAAATTAGTCGGGTGTGGTGGCAGATGCCTGTAATCCCAGCTACTCAGGAGGCTGAGGCAGGAGAATTGCTTGAAATGGGGAGGTGGAGGTTGCAGTGAGCCGTGATGGCACCACTGCACTCCAGCCTGGGTGACAGAGTGAGACTCTGTCTCAAAAAAAAAAGAAAATGATGATGAAAAAGAAACCCCCATCTCCTAAAAAAAAAAAAAAATTAAAAATAAAACTAATTAACTGGACGTGGTGACTCGCATCTGTATGTAGTTCCAGTTACTTGGGAGGCTGAGATGGGAGGATCACTTGAGCTGGGGAGTTCGAGGCTGCAGTAAGCAATGACTGCACCACTCCACTCCAGCCTGGGTGAGAAAGTAAGACCCTGTTTCTTTTTTTTTTTTTGAGACTGAGTCTGGCTCTGTCGCCCAGGCTGGAGTGCAGTGGCCGGATCTCAGCTCACTGCAAGCTCCGCCTCCCGGGTTTACGCCATTCTCCTGCCTCAGCCTCCGGAGTAGCTGGGACCACAGGCGCCCGCCACCTCGCCCGGCTAGTTTTTTGTATTTTTTAGTAGAGACGGGGTTTCACCGTGTTAGCCAGGATGGTCTCGATCTCCTGACCTTGTGATCCGCCCGTCTCAGCCTCCCAAAGTGCTGGGATTACAGGCTTGAGCCACCGCGCCCGGCAGACCCTGTTTCTAAAAAAAATAAATAAAATAAAAAATTAAAGGGCTCCTGTACATGGCTACCGAGGTTCTTCCCTTAGAAGACGTCACCGTTCCCTGGCCTGTGGGGGTGGGCTGGGGTGGGAAGGATAGACCGCCATCATCGGTTCATTTACATAAAACCACTATTATGTGCGGTGCCTGGCAGGGCTGAGGGACAACAGAGGTAGAGAAAGCCATACACCCTGCCCTCATGGAGCCTGTGATCCAGTGGAAAAGAAATACCCATTTCCAGCCATGAGTGGCCTAGAGGGGCCAAGAGGTGGGATGAGGGCTGGTCATGTATCACAGAGAAGATCTAAGGGAAGGAAAGTGGTGGGCCCTGTTAAAAAGCATGGAATGGTATTCCAGAGGGCATTACTGAGCCTGCACAGGTCTGGGTCATACTGAGCCTGAGCATGCATGGGTCACGCCTGATCAAGGATATTCAAGTCGCTCCATGTGACCAGACTGGACCACAGAGGTCTAAGGGGGGAGGGCAGATGAGCCAGATAGAATGACAGGGAGGAGTGTATGAGTGGCTCTGGAAACCGAGGGGTTTGGAAGTTTTCCTGAGGGCCTAGAGGGTCATGGAAGGTTCTAGAGCACTGGTTCTCAAGGTGTGGTCTCCAGACCATTAGTATCAGCATCACCTAGGAACCTGGCAGAAATACAAATTATCAGGCCCCACTCCAGATCTACTGAATAAAAAATTCTGGAAGTAGCCAGGTACTCACTCAGGAGGCAGAGGTGGGAGGATCACATGAGGCCAGAAATTCAAGGCTAACTTGAGATAGGGTATTGCTCTTTTGTCCAGGCTGAAATGCAGTGGTGTGATCACAGCTCACTGCATTTCTGTGTATTTCAGAGCTCACTGCAGCCTCAAACTCCTGGGTTCAAGTGATCTTCCTGCCTCAACCTCCCAGGTAGCTAGGATCACAGGGATGGGTCACCACACTGGGCTAATTAAAAAAAAAAAAAAATTAGCAACAGGGTCTCACCATAATGCCCAGGCTGGTCTCAAGTGATCCTCCTACCTCAGCCTCCCAAAGTACTGGGATTACAGGTGTGCATCACCACAGCTGGTTTAATTTCTTTTCTTTTTTTTTGGAGACAGGGTCTCATTCTGTTGCCCAGGCTGCAGTGCAGTGGAGGGATCTCGGCTCACTGCAACCTCTGCCTCCTGGGTTCAAGCAACTCCTGCCTCAGCCTCCCAAGTAGCTGGGATTACAGGTGCCCGCCACCATGCCCGGCTAATTTTTGTATTTTTTGGTACAGACAAGGTTTTATGTTGGCCAGGCTGGCATCGAACTTCAGACCTCAAGTGATCCGCCTGCCTCAGCTTTCCAAAGTGCTGGGATTATAGGCATGAGCCACTATGCCCAGCCAGAGACTCCATCTGTAAAACAAAAACAAAAATTCAGGGTGTGATGCCCACCAACCTGGCTTACCGAGCCCTTTAGGTGAGTCTAATACATGCTCAAATTTGAAAAACACTGGGTTAAATGTCTGGTCTGGAATTCATCAAAAAGTCATGGCCTGAATCCTTACCTATAAGGCATCAGAATGCAAATGAAAATTAATATTTTACTCGAGCCAGGCACACTTCCCACAACCGTGTGAGATGGCTGTCCTTGTCCTGTTTTTTAGAGGATGGTGCTAAGTAGCCGATTCACTCTCACAAGGTCTCTAGGAAACCACACTTTTTAAAGGAGTAATCCCACACTTTTTTAAGCTGTAATCTCAGCACTTTGGTAGGCCGAGGTGGGTGGATCACCTGAGGTCAGGAGTTGGGACCAGCCTGGCCAACACGGCGAAACCCCGTCTCTACTAAAAATACAAAAAATAAATTAGCCAGGCGTGGTGGCGGGAGCCTATAATCCCAGCTACTCGGGAGGCTGAGGCAGGAGAATCGCTTGAATCCTGAGCGGGGGAGCGGAGGTTGCAGTGAGTCGAGATCGCGTCACTTCACACTTCACTCCAGCCTGGGTGAAAGAGCGAAACTCCGTCTCAAAAAAAAAAAAAAGAATATTTGGGTAGAAGGACAAGTAGGGACGGTGCTTGCTGCCAGAACCACCAATAGAAACTTCTTGAAGGCCTTCCTGGCATAAACGTTGTCTCCAGCACCCTCTGCCGACCAGGCTCCGCGCTCTGAGTGCTGAGACTGTCCCCGGCCCTAGGTGTCTTAGGGCTTGCGCGTTACCTTGGAGACAGCGTGAGTGGAGGGCGTGCCTCTGCAAAGGCGGAAGTCGGCTGTGGAAGTGTGGGCGGCCATTTTGAGACCGGGCAAGAGGGGCGGGACTGGTGCGGCCGAGTGACAGTTGACCGGTTTTAACCAAGTGACTGGTACCACGGGGCCGGGGAGAAAGAGCGGTGCCATCCCGGGGCGGGGGGATGCCGGGGAGGGGGAGGAATTAGGAAGGGGAGGGGAGGGGGGAGGCGAGAAGGGGAGAGGCAGGGGAAAGAGGGGAGAGTCGTGGGAGCTGGCAGAAGAGGGAAAGGGGGAGCCGAACGTGAAGGGCGAAGGGCGGGGCGGGGTAGGAGAGTCGGGGTACAAAGCAGGCAGGTGTTCATGGCATGGGAAGGAAGAGTAAGAAGTGGGTCAAGAAGGTGTCGTGGTACGAGGGGAAGGTGAGACTCAAGAAGGTGCCGGCTAAGAAGCTAGGGCCGGCGTGGAAGGAGAAGGTGTGGGGCGAGGAAACAACGAAGGGCAAGGAAAGATCCCGAGGCGAAGAGACAGTCTTCATCGAGAAGGGGCAGGGCGAGGAGGAGGGGCGTGATCAGAGGGCGGGACGGGGCGAGGGGCCGGTGCTAGAAGAACCAATCGCCGAGAACCCGGGGAAGGGACGGGTCCATAAAGACCAGGTGGAGAAACAGGGGCGGGGCCGGGAGCGGAAGCAGAGCGAGGAGCAAGCCTTGGGCAAGAAACAGGAGCCCGGCCGAAAGCAAGAGCAGGGGCCGGGCCGGGAGCAGGGGCGGGGTCAGGAGCAGGGGCGGGGCCGGGAGCAAGAGCAGGGGCGGGGCCCGGAGAGGGGCAAGACCAGGCACAGTACCCTGCCCCTGGGCAGACGCCGAGCGAGGAGAAAGGGGCGATACCAAGAGAAGTGCGAGGGTAGGGCAAGAAGTTGGGGCAGAGTCGGGTGGAAGTACACGGGTGCGATCGCAGGCAGGAGCAGGACGGGGGAACACAAGAGAGGGGCTGTCAAAGCGAGAAATAGAAACCAAGACCAGGTGAAGAGCAAGAGTGGAATACAGAGAGGGGGCGAAACAAGGAGCAAGGTGGAGATAAAGGAAGAAACGTGGAGGCGGGGCGGAACGAGGCGCAGGAGCAGGAGTGTGGCCAGAAACATTAGTAGGGCTGGGGTCCGGAGCAATAGCAGAGGTGCGATCCCCACGAGGGTTCCGACGAGCAAGAGCAGGGGCGGGACCAGGAGCAAGTGCAGAGGCGGAGCCAGGAACAAGAGCAGGGGCGGGGCTAAAAGTCCGTGCGGGGATAGGGCCAGGAGCAAGAGCAGGGGCGGGGCCAGGAGCAAGAGCCGGGGCGTGACCAGGAGCATGGGCTGTGCGAGGCGCAGAAGCGAGGTGAAGTCTTAGAAGTGGGCTCCAGAGAGCTGTTTTGCGTGGGTGTTGACGCCTGCGTTCTCCAGGTTCTAGCCACATTATGTGCGGCCCAGCCATGTTCCCTGCCGGTCCTCGGTGGCCCAGAGTCCGAGTCCTGCAGGTGCTGTGGGCCCTGCTAGCAGTGCTCCTGGCGTCGCGGAGGCTGTGGGCGATCAAGGATTTCGAAGAATGCACCTGGCAGGTTGTCCTGAACGAGTTTAAGAGGGTAGGCGAGAATGGTGCGAGCGACCGCTTCTTTGAGCAAGAGCTCGTGGACACAGTCGGCAACTTGTTTCACATGCTGGTGGACTCACCCATCGACCCGAGGGAGGTGAGGGAACCAGGGTCAAGCGAACCAGAGGGATTTTGAACCCGCACTCCACTCATTTCTGAACATGCGGCCGAACCTCTCTTTGTAGAAATACCTGGGCTTCCCTTACTACCTGAAGATCAACTACTCCTGCGAGGAAAAGGTGAGTGGGTGCAGCACGGATAGGCTTATTCTATGAGCCTTCGTTTTCCCATCTCTAACATTTTGATTAATTTATTAATTATTTTTTTTTTTTTGAGAAGGAGTCTTGCTTTATTGCCCAGGCTGGAGTGCAGTGGCGTGATCTCGGCTCACTGCAACCTCCGCCTCCCAGGTTCAAGCGATTCTCCTGCCTCGGCCTCCCAAGTAGTTGGGACTACAGGCATGTGCCACTACGCTCGGCTAATTTTTGTATTTAGTAGATACAGGGTTTCACCGCATTGTCCAGGCTGATCTCAAACTCCTGACCTCATGTGACCCACCTGCCTCAGCCTCCCAAAGTGCTGGGATTACAGGCATGAGCCACTGTGCCTGGCCCACATCTCAATATTTTAATAGTGGTAGCCCCATCCAACCCTGGTGGCTTTAAGGATTCAAGAAGGCTGTGTGCAGTTCCCAGTGACCCACCAAGCACCTAGTAGGTGCTCAAGTAAGCTGCTTTTTTTGTTCCATTTGTGTGTGTGTGTGTGTGTGTGTGTGTGTGTGTGTGTTTTTGAGGTGGAGTCTCATTGTGTAGCCCAGGCTGGAGTGCAGTGGCTGGATCTCGGCTCACTGCAAGCTCCGCCTCCCAGGTTCACACCATTCTCCTGCCTCAGCCTCCCGAGTAGCTGGGACTACAGGCGCCCGCCACCACGCCCGGCTACTTTTTTGTATTTTTAGTAGAGACGGGGTTTCACTGTGTTAGCCAGGATGGTCTCAATCTTCTACCCTCGTGATCTGCCCGCCTTGGCCTCCCAAAGTGCTGGGATTACAGGTGTCAGCCACCTTGCCCGGCCTTGTTTCATGTTTTTAAAGCTTTAAGTAGGAGTTTACCATATATATAATTCACACACCATAAAATTCACCATTATTATTATTATTATTATTTTTTTTTTTTTTTGAGGCAGGGTCTCACTCTGTTACCCCATCTGGAGTGCAATGGAGAAATCACAGCTCATTGCAGCCTTGACCTCCTGGGCTCAAGTGAACCTTCTTCATCAGCCTCTTGAATAGCTGGGACTAGTTGTGTGCCACCACACCACCATGGGAGGATCGCTTGTATCCACAAGTTCAAGACTAGCCTAGGTCAGTTTGGCTGGGCATGGTGGCTCACATGTGTAGAAATGCTAAGGCAGGAGCATCATAATGAACCTAGGAGGTTGAGGCTGCAGGGGGCTGTGATCATGCCACTACACTCCAGCCTGGGTGACAGAGCTAGCCCCTGTCTTTATTTTTATTAATTAATTCATTAATTTATTTTTGAGATGGAGTCTCACTCTGCTGTTGGGGTGATGAGACCCAACACCAGGTCATGGGGGCAACGAAGTCCGGCGGAGTCAAAGGATTGAGAAAAAGACAGTTTGAGAGAGAGAAGTGGGACTAAAGAGCCATTGCTAGTGTATGGAGGCTGCGAAGGCCCGAGCTCTGGGAGCCCACGCTATTTATTGGTAATCCAACAAAGAAACAGGTGGTGAGAATGTGGAGGTCAAAAGGGCGCATTGCATTAAGCACATGATTGACAGCTGTGATGGTTTAGCATTTGCTCTGTTACTGGAGATAATGGAGAGCAGGTTCTTTTAACTCAAAATACAATCAATCCTGGAAGCACAAGGAGCAAGAAGCCAGCAAGTCTAGACACATTCCAGAGCCACGAGCCCTGGATTCTATCCAAGCCACGAGGGATTTTATGCCCTGGGCTTAGATTATGGTGCGTCGGGGTAGCCTGCCACCCTTTAGCATGTGGCTTGGCATTCCGAAGGCCACAAGGGGTTTTAGACCCTGGACCCCGGACATGTTCCAAGACTCTTTTACATTATGTCAGACATGCAAGCCCTCCCTCAGCTTCTCCTAACACTCTGTGGCCCAGACCGGAGTGCAGCGGCGCGATCTCAGCACACTGCAGTCTCTGCCTCCTGGGTTCAAGAGATTCTCCTGCCTCAGCCTCCTGAGTAGTAGGAATTAAAGTTTTTAATTTTGGTGAAGCCCAGTTTATCAATTTTTTTTTTTTTTTTGCTTGTGTTTTTTGTGTCATTTACAAAGGCCTTGCCTAAGGCAATGAAGACTTACTCATAATTTCTTCTAAGAGATTTTTAGTTTTAGCTCTTACATTTAGGTCTTTCATCCATTTTGAGTTATTTTTTGTATATGTTGTGAGGTCCAAGCTTTTACATGTGCATATCCAGTTGTCCCAGTACCATTTGGTAAGATGATTTTTTTTTTTTTTTTTGAGATGGAGTCTCGTTCCACCACCCAGGCTGGAGTGCAGTGGCACGATCTTGACTCACTGCAACCTCCACCTCCTAGGTTCAAGTGATTCTCCTGCCTCAGCCTCCGGAGTAGCAGGAATTACAGGCACGCGCCACCACGCCTGGCTAATTTTTATATTTTAGTAGAGACAGGGTTTCACCATGTTGGCCAGGCTGGTCTCAAACTCCTGACCTCAGGTGATCCACCTGCCTTGGCCTCCCAAAGTGCTGGGACTACAGGCGTGAGCCACCGTGCCTGGCCTGTTGAGATTTTTCTTTCCCCACTGAATTGTCTTGGCACCTTTGTCAAAAATCAATTGAACATAAATATAAGTGTTTATTTCTGGACTCAATTCTATTATAAATGAATTGATTTCCTCAATAATTCATTGCTCTAAATGCCTATTCATATGCCAGTACCACACAGTCTTTTTTTTTTTTTTTTTTGGAGACAGGGTCTCACTCTGTCACCCAGGCTGGAGTGCAGTGGCATGATCTCGGCTCACTGCAGCCTATGCATTCTGGGTTCAAGTGATTCTCCTGCCTCAGCTGCCCAAGTAGCTGGGACTACAGATGTGAGCCACCACGCCCAGCTAATTTTTGTATTTTTAGTAGAGACAGGGTTTCACCATGTTGGTCAGGCTGGTCTCGAACTCCTGACCTCAAGTGATCCACTGGCCTCAGCCTCCCAAAGTACTGGGATTACACAGGCATGAGCCACCATGCCCGGCCTACACAGTTTTAATTACTGTAGCTTTTTAGTAAGTTTTCAAATGGGGAAGTTTGAGTCCTCCAACTTTGTTCCTCTTTTTCTAGATTGTTTTGGCTATAGTTAATTGTTTGGGCTCTGAAGCCAGGCACGTAATAACTCTGTGTTCTCAGGCTAGTTACTTAACCTGTCTGTGCCAAAGTTTTCTCATCATTAACAAGGGTATGGTAATAATGATATAGTGATTAAATATGTGTAAAGCATGCATAGTACCTGGCTCATAGAAAAGGCTCTGTGTGGAAATAATACCTTTTTCTATTCACTCAACACCCACTGTGAATTAGGCCCCCTTTTATTTCAGATGATACAATGGTGAATAAAATGGTCAGGTTTTTCTTGTGGATTCAGTTGTCTGGGGAGGCAGATAATCAGCAAGTAAATGCATTAAAAATGAAATAATAGGCCAGGGACAGTGGCTCATGCCTGTAATCCCAGCACTTTGGGAGGCCGAGGCAGGCGGATCACAAGGTCAGGAGATCAAGACCATCCTGGCTAACCCGGTGAAACCCCATCTCTACTAAAACTACAAAAAATTAGCCGGGCGTGGTGGCAGGTGCCTGTAGTCCAAGCTACTCAGGAGGCTGAGGCAGGAGAATGGTGTGAACCCGGGAGGCGGAGCTTGCAGTGAGTCAAGATCACGCCACTGCACTCCAGCTTGGGTGACAGAGCAAGACTCTGTCAAAAAAAAAAAAAAAAAGAAATTATTTATATATATATGTGTGTGTGTGTGTGTGTGTGTGTGTGTGTGTGTATATATATATATTTTTTTTTTGAGATGGAGTTTCGCTCTTGTTGCCCAGGCTGGAGTGCAGTGGCACTATCGCGGCTCACGGCAAGCTCCGTCTCCTGAGTTCACACCATTCTCCTGCCTCAGCCTCCCAACTAGCTGAGATTACAGGCATACGCCACCACCCGGGCTAATTTTGTATTTTTAGTAGAGATGGGGTTTCTCCATGTTGGTCAGGCTGGTCTTGAACTCCCGACCTCAAGTGATCCGCCCACCTTGGCCTCCCAAAGTGCTGGGATTACAGGTATGAGCCACCACGCCTGGCCAATAATTTTATTTTTTTAGAGACAGGGTCTTGTGCTGTCATCCAGGCTGAAGTGCAGTGGGTCGATCATAGCTCATTGCAGCCTCCTGGGCCCAAGTGATCCTCCTGCCTCAGCCTCCCAAGTAGCAGAGACTACAGGCTCGAGCCATCACACCAGTGGACTTTCAATTAGACGGGGTCTCACTATGTTGCCTAAGGCTGGCATGAAAGACTTTCTGAGAGTAATATTAATAAATGCAAAGAATAAAATGAGGTGATCTGTTAGAAGCGGGGGCACTGTTTTAGTGGGGATGGTTGGAGAAGGTCACTTTGGAGAGGCTTGAGCAGAAATGATCAAATGATGAATGAATGATGAATGATCAAACAATGAAAAGTGGGGACTGTTAGGAGAGCCAGGCAAAGCATTCTAGTCTGAGGGAAGAGCCAGCGCGATGGCCCAGAGGTAGGAAAGAGGTCAGCACGTGTTAGAAACTGTGAGGAGGCCTTTGTGGCTGGAGCAGAGTGAGTGAGAGGGAGTGTGGGAGGAGAGGTCAGGGAGGTGACGGGGAAGGTTTTTTAGGCTTGACTGGCCATGGCGAGGACTTGGCTTTTACTCTGAGACACAGCCTGAGAGGGCCCTATGCAGACGAGGGATGGGATCTGATTCCAGGCTTCACTGGGTGCCCCCTGTTGTTGGGAGGCAGGGCAGGAGCAGTGAGACGAGGAGGAGGCTGCTGCATTGCACAGGCAGGAGATGACGGGGACAGGACCAGGGTGTGAGCGGCTACTGTCATCTTCACAGGAAGGAGGTCCCTGCCCGACTAGCACCACCTCCTCGAATAGGAACTCAGGCAGGGCCAGGGACAGGTGTAGTTGACAGGATTGAAATGAGCCTGGTGCTGGGTGTGGTGACTCATACCTGTAATCCCAGCACTTTGGGAGGCCGGGGAGAGAAGATTGCTTGAGCCCAAGAATTCAAGACCAACCTGGACAGCATAGGAGACCCTGTCTCTACAAAAAAATCAAAAAATTGGGCCGGGCATGGTGGCTCATGCCTGTAATCCCAGCACTTTGGGAGGTCAGGGCGGGTGGATCACCTGAGGTCAGGAGTTCGAGACCAGCCTGACCAACATGGTGAAACCCCATCTCTACTAAAAATGCAAAAATTAGCTGGGCATGGTGGCACATGCCTGTAATCCCAGCTACTCAGGAGGCTGAGGCAGGAGAATCGCCTGAACCTGGGAGGTGGAGGGTGCAGTGAACTGAGATGGTGCCATTGTACTCCAGCTTGGGCAACAAGTGCGAAACTCCATCTTGAAAAAAAATAAATAAATCTGAAAATTAGCCAGGTATGGTAGCGGTACCTGTAGTCCCAGCTGTTTGGGAGGCTGAGGCAGGAGGATTGCTGAAGTCTGGGAGAGGTGGAGGTCACAGTGAGCTGTGATGGCACCACTGCACTCCAGGCTGGGCAACAGAGCAAGACCTTATCTTTAAAAAAAAAAAAAAAAAAAGCCAGGTGCAGTGGCTTACACTATAGGATTACACTGTAATCCTAGCACTTTAGGAGGGTAAGGCTGGAGGATTGCTTGAGGCCAAGAGTTCAAGACCAACCTGGCCAACATAGCAAGACCCTGTCCCATGTAAAAAATAAATAATTAAATAAATAAATAAATTACAGAAATAGCCAGCCGAGGCAACTATTTGTAGGCAAGTAGACTCTGTCCCTACAAAAATTAAACAATTTTCAAAGAAAGAAAAAGAGGCCAGCCATGGTGGCTCATGCCTGTAATCCTGGCACTTTGGGAGGCTGAAGCAGGCAGATCAGTTGAGGCCAGGAGTTTAAGACCAGCCTGGCCAACATGGTGAAACCTCGTCTTTACTAAAAATACAAAAATTAGCCGAGCATGGTGGTGCACACGTGTAGTCCCAGCTACTCAGGAGGCTGAGGCAGGAGAATCACTTGAACCCAGGAGACAGAGGCTGCAGTGAGCCAACATCATGCCACTGCACTCTAGCCTGGGTGACAGAGTGAGACTCCTTAAAAAAAAAAAAAAAAGGAAAAGGAGCCTGGCAAAGAAAGTCAGCCCTCTGGATGAAGGGCTGTGCACAGGCGACTGGATCTGGTAAATCCCTCGCCCTGGTTCCACAGCGACCAAGGCCTCCCCTTGGTGGCCTGAGTGCCGCCTTCTCTCAGGGACGCCTCTTAGCCTTCACTGGTGCTGGTCCACGTGCCTGAAACATCCTTCTCCTCTTCTCTCATCTCCACTCTAAGCGCTCCCCACCCTTTTCTATCCAGCCAGGATCCCAGATCCCTTGGAGGCTGTCCAGGCATGCCCTGTCACCCTCATCCTCAGTTCCTTCCTGTGTAACTACCCCATCCCACCCTCACCCCAAGCTCCAGGCCCAGAACCTGGCTGTCCTCTGACTTGCATAGGTGGCAGAAAGTCTGCTGCAGAGACAGTGGAAGCCCACCTCAAGAGTGAGACTGGGGGCCAGATGAGATGGCTCACGCCTTTAATGCCAGTACTTTGGGAGGCCAAGGTGGGAGGCTCACTTGAGACCAGGAGTTCAAGACCAGCCTAGGCAATGTAGTGAGACCTCATCTCTCTAATTTTTTTTTTTTTTTTTTTTTTTTTTGAGACGGAGTCTCGCTCTGTCGCCCAGGCTGGAGTGCAGTGGCCCGATCTCAGCTCACTGCAAGCTCCGCCTCCCGGGTTCACGCCATTCTCCTGCCTCAGCCTCCCGAGTAGCTGGGACTACAGGCGCCCACAACCGCGCCCGGCTAATTTTTTGTATTTTTAGTAGAGACAGGGTTTCACCGTGGTCTCGATCTCCTGACCTTGTGATCCGCCCGCCTCGGCCTCCCAAAGTGCTGGGATTACAGGCGTGAGCCACCACGCCCGGCCTTTTTTTTTTTTTTTTTAAGCTGGAACTGGATATTCCCGGAGTGGAAAGCAGCACCCTGGTGCCACATCCCTCCCACCTTCCCAGCATCCCTCCCACCTGCACAGTTTTGCTCATCCCATGCTGTCCTTCCCTATGTATTCCCTACATGCACATTCTGTCTGCAGACACTGGCTCTGGAGTCATTTCCTCCAGGAAGGCCTCCGACTCCCTCCACAGCCCCTTACCCCTCTGCCCCCTCCTAGGCTGGCCCATCCCCCATCCAAGCCCCAAACCTAGACCATGTCCTCTGGCCATCACATGGTGGACAGTGTGCTGCCCCCGGCCAGCCCAGGAGACAGGCTGTTCGAGGTGGGCTCAAGGCAGGGGGCATCCAGAGGCTACCATAAGGACACACTCGTGGGGCCATCTCACCCTCAGCACTCTGAGGACCTGGTGCGCATGGGCCACCTGACGGGGCTAAAGCCCGTGGTGCTGGTCACCTTCCAGTCGCCAGTCAACTTCTACCGCTGGAAGATAGAGCAGCTACAGATCCAGATGGAGGCTGCCCCCTTCCGCAGCAAAGGTGGGCCTGGGGGAGGCTGGAGGGGTCGCAGTCTGGCAGGGGTTTGGGGTTTGCTGGGGGCCGCCGTGGGGCCATGATCTGAGGAGGGTATGTGGGGGGGCAGGAGCTCAGCACATTCCATAGCCTAGATGGGGCCACACAGAGGCCCCAGTGGGACCCATGGCATGGAGGCGGGTATGGGGAGTTGTGGGGAGATCCCAGTGTGGTCTGGGGCCTGGAACCGGCCATTGGGAGGCCCCAGCAATTTCAGTGCCCAGGGCCTCCCTGCAGAGCCATGCATAGCAGAGGAAGTGTGTAGCATGAGCTGGTACACGCCCATGCCTATCAAGAATGGCAGTGTGGTCATGCGTGTGGACGTCAGCAGCAATGGCCTGGGGACCTTCATTCCAGATAAAAGGTATCCTTTCCCAAGCCGGGGGCCGGGGTGGACTCCAGGGGAACTCCTCACCCCGGGGTCCCCAGAGGAGCCAGTGGGAGATCCAAGGGAGAGAATGGGGAGAGAGGCAGCTGCGAGCTGTGGAACCCCTGACACTGGGACCTCACCTGCGCCTGTCCTGCACCTGCTGCTAGGTTCCAGGTGAATATCAATGGCTTCCTGAAGAGAAACCAGGACAATGACATCCAATTCACTGTGGGAGATGAGGTGAGGGAATCTGGGCAGGGGAAAAAGACAATGGTCTGGGCCTTACGCTGACGCCCTGGTTACTTCCCAGATAAGCAGCAGATCCCATTTAGGGAGCACCAACTTCATGCCAGGCCCCACATGAAGATTCCATTAATCTCCCCAGTGACTCTTTGAGGGGACATACTCTCACTCCATTATAAAGAGGAGACACCTGAGGTCCCAAAGGGATGGAACCATTTTCCCATAGTCCCTCAGCATGGAAGGAGTCTTGAAGTTATCTGCCTATCTGCCTGACTCCTGTACATACCTGTACACACACACACACACACACATATATGTTTGTTTTTTTTTTTTTTTTTGAAACAGGGCCTTGCTCTGTCATCCAGGCTGGAGTGCAGTGCTGCAATCATGGCTCACTGTAGACTTGAGCTCCTGGGCTCAAGCAATACTCCCACTTCAGCCTCCCGAGTAGCTGGGACCACAGGCATGTACCACCATATCCAGCTAACTTTTTAATTAATTAGTTAATTGTTGTTTTTGAGCCAGAGTCTTGCTCTGTCCCCCAGGCTAGAGCGCAGTGGTACAATCTCACCTCATTGCAACCTCCACCTCCTGGGTTCAAGCAATTCTCCTGCCTCAGCCTCCCAAGTAGCTGGGATTACCGGCGCCCATCACCACGCCAGGCTAATAATTTTTTTATTTTTTGTAGAGACGAGGACTCACTCTATCATCCAGGCTGGAGTGCATCATCCAGGCTGGAGTGCAGGAGAGTGACCTCGTCAGGCTCAGGTGATACTCTCCCCTCAGTTTTTGTATTTTTAGTAGAGGCAGGGTTTTATCATGTTGCCAGGGTTGGCTGAAGTGATCCGCCCACCTCGGTCTCCCAAAGTGCTAGGATTACAGGTGTGAGCCACTGCGCCCAGCCCATGCCCATATGCAATTTTTTTTTTTTTTTGAGACAGAGTTTCGCTCTTGTTGCCCAGGCTGGAGTGCAGTGGTGTGATCTCGGCTCACTGCAACCTCTGCCTCCCGGGTTCAAGCAATTCTCCTACCTCAGCCTCCTGAGTAACTGGGATTATAGGCACATGCCACCACACCCAGCTAATGATTTTTTATTTTTATTTTTATTAGAGATGGGGTTTCTTCATGTTGGCAGGCTGGTCTCAAACTCCCGACCTCAGGTGATCCACCCGCCTCAACCTCCCAAAGTGCTGGGATTACAGGTGTGAGCCACCACGCCTGGCCTCATACCCATATTCTTAATCCCCATGCATTCACCCATTCATTCATGCTGTCACTCAGCAGGCACTTACTGAGCACACGTTGTTGCATCATGGGGACACAGCAGTGAACCCACAGACCCAAATCTCTGCCCTCCTGGAGCTGACACTGTAGTAGGGGAGACAGATGGCAACCTGGCAAACTGGTAAATGTGAAAATCAAGTGAATTCCGTAGTAGGGTAAAGGGTGGTAAGTGCTCTGGAGAGAAATGGAATAGGACAATGGGAGTTGGGTCTGTGCAGAAGGAGAGTGCAATGTTTAATAGGATGGTCAAGAAAGGCCTTGGCCGGGCGCGGTGGCTCAAGCCTGTAATCCCAGCACTTTGGGAGGCCGAGACGGGCAGATCACGAGGTCAGGAGATCGAGACCATCCTGGCTAACCCGGTGAAACCCCGTCTCTACTGAAAAATACAAAAAACTAGCCGGGCGAGGTGGCGGGCGCCTGTAGTCCCAGCTACTTGGGAGGCTGAGGCAGGAGAATGGCGTAAACCCGGAAGGCGGAGTTTGCAGTGAGCTGAGATCCGGCCACTGCACTCCAGCCTGGGCGACAGAGCGAGACTCCGTCTCAAAAAAAAAAAAAAAAAAGGCCTCATTGAGAAGTTTAAGCTTCCAAGGAGAGAATCGCATGGATACTAGGGGAAGAGCATTTCATCAGGAGAAGCAGAGGCCCTGAGGTGGGCGTGTGCCTGGGAGGTCTGAGAAGCAGAGAAGAGGCCGTGTGGCTGGGAGAGAGGGGGTGAGGGGGAGAATGGTAAGGAATGAGGTCAAGGAATTGAGAAGGACAAATTGCGTGGGGCCTTGTGGGTCCAGGTCAGGCCTTGGACCTAAATGAGATGGAGCCTCAGGAGAGTGGCGGGAGTGTTGGCATCCCTCCTGTCCCTCCCTGGCAGCTCTTCAACCTGATGCCCCAGTACTTTGTGGGTATCTCATCGAGGCCCTTGTGGCACACTGTGGACCAGTCACCTGTGCTCATCCTGGGAGGCATTCCCAATGAGAAGTACGTCCTGATGACCGACACCAGCTTCAAGGACTTCTCTCTGGTGGAGGTGAACGGTGTGGGGCAGATGGTGGGCGGGGCCTCTTGGAGGGAGCTGGGCCTCAGCCCCTGGAATAGGGTGGGGGCCTGGGGCTCTAGAAGAGGTCCCCACAGACACATCAGTCGCCATGAGAGGCAGAGAGCATGAAGAAAAAACACACGATTCTACAGCCAGAGGCCTAGGTTCAAATCCTGGTTCTGCCGCCACCTGGCTGCCTGACCCTGGACTTGGCATTCAACAACCCGGTCCTCAGATTCCCATTTGTAACATGGTAGTAATACTTATATTTACTTCATAGGATTATTGTGAGGATGATGTAAGTTAATAGTTTCCAGCTGAGTGCAGAGGCTCATGCCTATAATCCCAGCACTTTGGGAGGCTGAGGTAGGAGAACCACTTGAGAGCAGGAGTTTGAGACCAGCCTGGACAACATAGTGAAACCCCATCGCTACCAAAAATACAAAACTTAGCCGGGGTGGTGGCATGAGTCTGTAGTCTCAGCTGCTCAGAAGGCTGAGGCAGGAGGATTGCTTGAGCCTGGGACTTTGAGGCTGCAGTGAGCTATGATCATATCATTGCACTCCAGCCTGGGAGACAGATCGAGACCCTGTCTCAAAAAAAAAAAAGGGTTAATAGCCTCCATAACCAATGGTATATGTGTGCCATTACCTTCTCCACTCTGGAAAATTCTGCATTGCAATATACATCTCTGCCCAAGAGTTTCCTATTAGGCTTTGAGAGCCTATATTATCCCATAATAGGGAGGGAGTGTCTGAAGTAAGGATCTTTTGGCTTCAGCGACAGAAATATGTTGGAATTAGTGCAGCTACAGGCAGAATGCCAAGCCAGGTTGGTTTACCCAGAGAACTGGTTTACCCAGAGAACAGAGAACCGTGCGCAGCCTGTTCTTGTTCTCTAACCATGGGGATTTCTCCCTGATGGTCTCATCTCATTGTCTCCTGTCTTCCCCGCTCCTGTCTCTCCCCACCACTCCCTTCCACACTGCCCCCAGGAAACAGATCCTCCCCTGCGCAGCTCGCTTCACCTTTGTTGGTTGGGGTCCAGGTATAGATGCTGTAACAAAGAGACCCTGGAAGAGAATGACGGAAATAAAGACTGTTGCTCGTTTTTTCTTTTTCTTTTTCTTTCTTTCTTTCTTTTTTTTTTTTTTTGAGACAGAGTCTCGCTCTGTTGCCCAGGCTGGAGTACGGTGGTGCAATCTCGGCTTACTGCAACCTCTGCCTCCCGGGTTCAGGTGATTCTTCTGCCTCAGCCTCTCGAGTAGCTGGGATTGGAGGCACCCACCACCGCACCTGGATAATTTTTGTACTTTTAGTAGAGATGGGGTTTTGCCATGTTGGCCAGGCTGGTCTCAAACTCCTGACCTCAAATGATCTACCCACCTTGGCCTCCCAAAGTGTTGGGATTACAGGTGTGAGCCACCGCACCTGGCTGTTGCTCATTCTCGTAACAGTCCAGAGGTGAAGAACCTTGTTCCTTCCATTTTCTCCCTTCACCATCCCCTGGGCTGGAGGTGTTGACCTCTGTATGACGGCAGCCACTGGGAAAGGGGAGGAGAAGAAGTAGAGGGCAAGCCATTTTCTTTTAAGCAAGCTTCACATCCACTGACATTCCGCTAGTGAGAAGGGGTCACCTGGCTACATCCAACTGCAGGGGACACTGGGTGGTACATGCCCAGCTAAATTCAATCACCAAAAAATATAGGGAAATGGATATGAGTGTTTCCCTAGCCATCTCCTGAAAGTGGAGAAGAAAATTTACTGGTTCACGAGACCAAAAAATTCAAGACTTCAGGCTCTGCTTGGCCCAGGATTTCAAACAGTATCACTGAGACGGGGTTTCTTGTCTCATCTCTTGGACCACATTCCTCTGTTTTTTGTTTTTTGGATGGAGTTTCACTCTTGTCACGCAGGCTGGAGTGCAGTGGTGCAATCTTGGCTTACCGCAACCTCTGCCTCCCGGGTTCAAGCGATTCTCTTGCCTCAGCCTCCCAAGTAGCTGGGATTACAGGCGCGTGTCACCACGTCCAGCTAATTTTTTGTATTTTTAGTAGAGACGGGGTTTCATCACACAGTTATTTATTTTAATTAGCTGGGAGTGGTGGCAAGCACCTGTAGTCCCAGCTACTCGGGAGGCTGAGGCGGAAGGATTGCTTGAGCCCAGGAGTTCAAGACCAGCCTGGGTAACATAGCGAGACCTCACCTCTACAAAAATAAAAATTAAAAAATCAGCTAGGCATGGCGGTGAGCACCTGTCGTCCCAACTACTCGGGAGACTGAGGTGGGAGGATCGTTCGAGCCCAGGAGTTTGAAGTTGCAGTGAGCTGTGATCATACCACTGCACTCTAGCCTGGGTGACAGAGCCAGATCCAGCCTTTAAAAAAAAAAAAGTCCCTTGGGGAGAGCAAGGGGTGTTGTATCCATGTAGGTGTAACCCTGACTGTAGCCAGGGGTACAAGGACCGCTAAGGACCGTTGAGCATGCTGTGCACTGCCCAACTCCAGGGGGCACACGAAGCCTGAACTGGCTCAGGCCTGGGTCACCTGCTTCTCTGGTCCATATAGGGGAGGTTTGGCTACCAAGGTGTTGCTGCAGGGTGAGCAGGGAGAGCACTCTGGGGCAGCTGTCAGAGCAGGAGCTTCCCTGCAAGGCAGGACATGGGGGCTGAGGCCAAGGCCACCTGCTCACCACTGGCCTCTGCTCCCCTGCAGCTAAGCATTGACAGTTGCTGGGTGGGCTCCTTCTACTGCCCCCAATCTGGCTTCACAGCCACCATCTATGACACTGTTGCCACCGAGAGCACCCTCTTCATTCGGCAGAACCAGCTGGTCTACTATTTCACAGGCACCTATACCACACTCTATGAGAGAAACCGCGGCAGTGGTGAGTGGGCTGTGGCAGGACCCACGCCTGGGGAGGGCACCCCGGTGAACCCCTCCACAGAAGGTACCTGGGGCTGGCATTGCTGTGGGTGAGGCAGCAGGGAAGGAACTTGCTAAGGCCCTGACCACCCCTGCCCACCCCGAATGGACCTTTCCTTGCCCCCTCTTTTTTTGTTTTTTGTTTTTTTTTTGCCGGGATGAGGCTTCCACTCAGAGCCTCCTGGGAATTGTGAGCAACTGTGAGAAGAGGGGGTGTGAGAATAAAGGGAGGTAGAGAGAAGCAGACACATGCGTGTGCCCACACAGGGTGGCAGAAGGACATGCCGAGGGAGACCAGACAGGGAGAAAGAGGGAGAGGGGCATGGCAAGTCAGAAGGAGCGGGAGGAGAGAGAGAAACAGATGGGCAAAGCCTCAAGGGAAACTCATCGGAGACAAAAAAGAGAGGCTAGGCACAGTGGCTCAGGAGGCCAGACTACTCAGGAGGCTGATGGGAGGGGGGATCACATGAGCCCAGGGGTTTGAGGCTACAGTGAGCTATGATCACACTACTGCACTCCAGCCTGGGCGACAGAGCAAGACCCTGTTTCAAAAAAAGAAAAATGCTGGGTGCGGTGGCGCATGCCTGTAATCCCAGCACTCTGGGAGGCTGAGGTGGGTGGATCACTTGAAGTCAGGAGTTCAAGACCAGCATGGCTAACACGGTGAAACCCCGTCTCTACTAAAAATACAAAAAAATTAGCAAAATTAGCTGGGCATGGTGGCACGTGCCTGTAGTCCCAGCTACTTGGGAGGCTGAGGCAGGAGAATCGCTTGAACCCTGGAGGCGGAGGTTGCAGTGAGCCAAGATCGTGCCCCTGCACTCCAGCCTGGGTGACAGAGCGAGATGTCATCTAAAAAAAAAAAAAAAAAAAAAAAAAAAAAAAAGCTAGGTGCAGTGGCTCACACCTGTAATCCCAGCACTTTGGGAGGCTGAGGCGGGCGGATCACAAGGTCAGGAGTTTGAGACCAGCCTGGCCAATGTGTTGAAACCCCGTCTCTACTAAAAATACAAAAATTAGCTGGGTGTGGTGGCGGGTGCCTGTACTCCCAGCTACTCGGGAGGCTGAGGCAGGAGAATCGCTTGAACTCAGGAGGTGGGGCTGCCGTGAGCCGAGATAGTGCTACTGCACTCCAGCCTGGGCAACAGAGTGAGACTCCGTCTCAAAAAAAAAAAAAATGCCAAAGCTCTCCTATTTCTTCTAGTTTTTCCTGCCATCTCAGAACTGTCAGCTTCCAGAGTCACCGGAAATTGGACTGTAACTTATAAGTAAATGGGTGTTCCCAGCAGCTTTGCTTTCTCTCTTTCTTAGGGCACTTTGACAGTGGGAGGAACCAAATTCAAATTGGCTTAAGCCAAAGAAAAGAGGTGTTTATTGGCTTCCGTGGCTGAAAAGCCCAGTAGCGTGTTGGTTTCAGGAATGGCTGCACCAGGGGGTCACTGTCACAGTTAAACAGTCACCTCTTCGTGCATGCCACGGTGACTCCGGCCCCTGCCCAGCAACTGTAGACTTGTATGCCCCTCAGTAGCCCCAGAAAAGAGCATCTTGTTGCTGATTGCAAGCTGGTATTGCCTCTGATTTGGCCAGCTTGGTCACATGGTAATCATTGTGGCCAAGGGAGTGCAAGGGAGGTGTCAGCCCAATCTGACCCTCATGGACAGAGTGTGAGCAAAGGAAGATTTTCTCAAAGGCAGCGGGTGCCCTCTGCCAGGTGCTCCCTGACACCACACTGAACAGGTGCTGCAGCACCATAGGACAGATAACAGGCTCACTAAAGCCGGGGAAATGTGGGCGGGGCGGAGGGCAGAGGCCGCAGATCCAACCACCTGGGTCTGAGGCCCCATGCTGGCTTCCCTAGGCAGCTGGGTTCGTGTCCTGGCCAGCGAGTGCATCAAGAAGCTGTGCCCTGTGTATTTCCATAGCAATGGCTCTGAGTACATAATGGCCCTCACCACGGGCAAGCATGAGGGTTTTGTACACTTCGGGACCATCAGAGGTAAGGGTGTGGGCCTCTGGCAGCCCCAGGGACCCCTCCATACCCTCTCACCTCCAAGGATTCTAACCTTGGGACCTCACTCATCGCCATGTGCCCTAAGGAGGGCCCCCAGGCTGAGGGTGGTGATGGTGGTGGTGGAGGGATGCGTTTGTAGGGGTAGGGCTTGGGGGTATGTTATGTATCTTTCATGATGTACTTGGCTTTAAAGCGCAGATCTGGGCATGGTGGCTCATGCCTGTAATCCCAGCACTTTGGGAGGCTGAGGCAGGCAGATCACTTGAGGTCAGGAGTTCAAGAACATCCTGGCCAACATGGTGAAACCCCATCTCTATTAAAAATACAAAAATTAGCTGGGCATGGTAGCAGGCACCTGTAATCCCAGCTATTCAGGAGGCTGAGGCAGGAGAGTCACTTGAACCCAGGAGATGAAGGTTGTAGTGAGGCGAGATTGCGCCACTGCACTCCAGCCTGGGCAACAGAGTGAGACTCCATCTCAAAACAAACAAATCCACCACCAGAAAAACAAAAATAGCAGAAGCCCAGTTCAAAAATAATTTAAGTACAGCTGGGCACAGTGGCTCATGCCTGTAATCCCAGCACTTTGGGAGGCTGAGGTGGGTGGATCACCTGAGGTCAGGAGTTCGAGACCAACCTGCCCAACATGGAGAAACTCCATCTCTACTAAAAATACAAAAACCAGCTGAGCATGGTGGCACACACCTGTAGTCCCAGCTACTTGGGAGGCTGAGGCATGAGAATTGCTTGAACCTGGGAAGCAGTGGTTGCAGTAAGCCGAGATCATGCCACTGCACTCCAGCCTGGGCAACAGAATGAGACTGTCTTAATAATAGTAATAATAGGCATAAAGAATTTGTGGACTTACATAAATGAAAAGACTCAGGTTCAACTTCAGGTATGGCTGGATCCAGGGGCTCACAGTGTATGTCATCAGGACTCCATCTCTTGGTAAGGTAGTGCAGCATAGTAATTATAGCACAGATTCTGGAGAGAGACTGCTCCATCACACCTTTGCTGTGTGCCTTGCAATATGTAACTTGACCTCTCTGATCTCATTTTCTTCACCTACAAAATGTGACTAATGGTAGTACTAGTATCTAGGTCACTGGGTCGATATAAAGATTAAATAAGTTGGTTTTTGTAAAGGTCTTAGTACTAGCGATGTGGTGAGTGTTACAAATGGTTTATTATTATTGGTCCTATAATTTGGGTCCATTTTCAGGTAGCTATTCCTCCATGGAGGTTAAAGGTAGCCCCTTAAAGCTTAAGACTCAAGTCACCTACTAGTCTGAGTCATGCCAAGAGAATGAAGACAGCATCTTTCCCATTAATTCTAACACAAGTCCCAGAGTAAATTCTGATTGGCCCACTGTGGTTCTCATGGCCAGACCTGAGCCATGAGACCCACAGTGTCATGACTGTGACCAGAGACAGACATGCTCTGATAGGCCAGGTGTGAGTGACGGAAGGCCAGAGAATGAGATCCCAAGGACTGAGGGGCTGGTGGGCATGAGGAGGGCAATCAGAGTTGGCTTGATGGGCTGCCAGACAGGAGGGAGAGGGACTGAACATGAACCGCACCTTGCTCTGCAGATGGCCAGGTGTCCTTTGAGATGCTGCCCAGGGAGTGGTCTGTGTGCGAGCAGATAGGAGGTACTAATCCCCCTGATGGGTCTGCGGCGGGAGGCTGGGGGGACTGAGGATGCAGAAGAGCAGGAGAGGGTGGCAGGGGTCATGGGAAAGAATGGGCAGTGTCTTAGGGAGGGGTGAGAGTTATGGGGAGGGGCACAGCTGGCACAGGACCAAGGCCATTGAGCCCTGGGGTGGCTCTGGACTGCCCCTTTCCCTCTCAGTTACCACCTGCTCCATAATTTGGTCTGACTACATCGCGGGTGAGTATACCCTACTGCTGCTAGTGGAGAGCGAATATGAAAATGCCAGTAAACGTTTCCAGGTGGTCAGCTACAACACAGGTAATCAGGGCGATGCAAGGGGCTGGGCGCAAAGGGGCAGGAGCCCAGACTGTGGACCGCATGCCCATCCTGAGGGATCTATGCCCAGCAGACAGAGGGAGGGCGACATTATCTGTGCCACTCCTGGATGAGGGGTAGCAGTGGAGAACTGGGTATAGGCTTGGCGATCTGAAAGGGCTCTGTGACTCACAATAAAGAGATTTTTTTTTTTTTTTTTTTTGAAACGAAGTCTAGCTCTGTCGCCCAGGCTGGAGTGTGGTGGCCGGATCTCAGCTCACTGCAAGCTCTGCCTCCCGGGTTCATGCCATTCTCCTGCCTCAGCCTCCCAAGTAGTTGGGACTACAGGCGCCCGCCACCTCACCTGGCTAGTTTTTTTTTTTTTTTTTTTTTTTTTTGTATTTTTTAGTAGAGATGGGGTTTCACCGTGTTAGCCAGGATGGTCTCGATCTCCCGACCTCATGATCTGCCCGCCTCTGCCTCCCAAAGTGCTGGGATTACAAGCTTGAGCCACCGCACCCAGCCAATAAAGATATTTTATTTTACCTGCAGTGAGAATAGGGCCGCCATGTAGAGTTGTACAGGCTGTGCACTGCACAAAACCCCCAACCAAGGGGTCAGAGGAGACAGGTCCTGTGCCTTAACAGGACTGTTCCCTCTCAGAGGCAGTGTCTTTTTATAATTCACATGAAGAAATTCTAAAGGGCTAGGCATGGGGGTCACACCTGTAATCCCAGCACTTTGGGAGGCCAAGGCCAGAGGATCGCTTGAGGCCAGTAGTTCAAGACCAGCCTGGGGCAACATAGCAAGACCCTGTCTCTACAAATTAAAAAAACAAACAAAAAAAGGTAGCCGAGTATGGAGGTGCGCCTGTAGTCCCAGCTACTTGGAATATACCTGAGGTGGAAGGATGGCATAAGCCCAGGAGGTTGAGGCAACAGTGAGCTATGATCATGCCACTGCCTGGGTGACAGAGCAAGACCCTGTCTCAAAAAGAAAAAAAAAAAAAGAACTGGGCGTGGTGGCTCATTGTTGTAATCCCAGCACTCTGGGATACCAAGGTGGGTGGAATGCTTGAGCTCAGGAGTTCAAGACCAGCCTAGGCAACATAGCGAAACCTCCTCTCTACTAAAAATACAAAAATTGGGCCGGGTGCGGTGGCTCATGCCTGTAGTCCTAGCACTTTGGGAGGTTGAGGCAGGTGGATCACGAGGTCAGGAGATCGAGACCACAGTGAAACCAGGTTTCTACTAAAAATACAAAAAATTTAGCCGGGTGCAGTAGCGGGTGCCTGTAGTCCCAGCTACTCGGGAGGCTGAGGCAGGAGAATGGTGTGAACCTGGGAGGCGGAGCTTGCAGTGAGCCGAGATCCGGCCACTGCACTCCGTCTCAAAAAAAAAAAAAAAATACAAAAATTGGCAGGGGGCAGTGGCTCACACCTGTAATCCCAGCACTCTGGGAGGCCGAGGCGGGGTTGGGGGGGATCACTTAAGGTCAGGAGTTCAAGACCAGCCTGGCTAACATGGTGAAACCCTGTCTCTACTAAAAATACAAAAATTAGTCAGGCATGATGGTGGGTGCCTGTAAACCTAGCTACTCGGGAGGCTGAGGCAGAAGAATTGCTTGAACCTGGGAAGCAGAGGTTGCAGTGAGCCGAGATCACGCCATTGCACTGCAGTCTGGGCAGCAGAGGGAGACTCCATCTTGGAAAAAAAAAAAAATACAAAAAATTAGCTGGGCGTGGTGGTGGTGCGTGTCTATAATCCCAGCTACTCTATAGGCTGAGGTGGGAGGATCACTTGAACCCAGGAGGCAGAGGTTGCAGTGAGCCAAGATCACACCATTGCACTCCAGCCTGGGCGACAGAGAGATCCTGTCTTGGCGGGGGGCGGTGGAAGAAACTCTTAAGGACTAGCAAGCCCGGGTGGGAAGCTCTTTGGAGGGTTTTACAGGAGGCTGAGAAGCAAGCAACTTGCTCCAGCTCCAGGTTTTGAAAGCACAGAGCCTCAGGAGATTTTGCTGTATTCACACCCCCCCCCCTCCCCGTAGCTAATGATGACCTGGAACTTCTCTACCACATCCCGGAGTTCATCCCTGAAGGTAGGAGGGGAAGGCAGAGGTGGCCTCAAGGGCGGCTGTGGGCCAGGAGGGGCCCAGGTGACTCCACCTCACTGCCGTGTCTTCTCTTCCTCTGCCCCGATCAGCTCGAGGATTGGAGTTCCTGATGATCCTAGGGACGGAGTCCTACACCAACACTGTAATGACCCCCAAGGGCATCTCCTGTAACCCGTACAACCACCTGATCTTCATCTGGGGCAACTTTCTCCTGCAGAGGTGGGCCTCCACCACTCCCGGGTGGGCCAGGCATACTCTGTCTCCCCAGCACCTTTAGGGTGTGGATGCTTTCAAGATCAGACTAGGCGAGTCTCACCAAGCCTTCAGAGGATGCCCAAATCCAGAAGTTACCAGGACGGTGATGGGGAACACACCGTTAGGGTAGTCAGTGCTGGGACGAGGGGAGCCAATGTTTTAAAGCTGTGGGAGCCCTTTTCTTAAAAATGAAACCTTATATAAAGACCCAGCCTGTGTGAGCAATAGATGAGCAGTTTCTAGGGTTTGTTTTTGTTTTTGTTTTGGGACAGTCTCGCTCTGTCACCCAGGCTACAGGGCAGTGGCACAATCTCAGCTCACTGCAGCCCCCGCCTCCCTGATTCAAGTGATTCTCCTGCGTCAGCCTCCCTAGTAGCTGGGATTACAGTTGCATGTCACCACGCCTGGCTAATTTTTGTATTTTTAGTAGAGACGGATTTCACCATGTTGGGCAGGCTTGTCTCGAACTCCTGACCTCAGGTGATCCTCCCGCCTCAGCCTCCGAGAGTGCTGGGATTACAGGTGTGAACCACGTGCCCGGCTAACTGACGAGCATTTTCTAGGGACAGTTTAGGATCCTCCCCACCCCAGCCACCCTCTCGACCCTCAGGAACCTAGGGGCCCCTGAGCCACTTTCTTGGGTGGCTGGCAAACTGCCAGGTTGGCCCGATGCTTCTGTTTTACAGATGGGGAGCTGGAGACTCTCAAAGGGTTTGGGTTGGGGGGCGGGAGCTAGGATTTCAAGCTTCCTTTGCACATTCTTCCAAGTGGAGAAACTGAGTAAGTGGCTCCCGAGTTATTAGGCCTGGGATTGGGGTAAGCGGCTGTCCAGGATGCGCCCAGCTCTCCATCTCTGTCCCTGCAGCTCTAACAAGGAAAACTTCATCTACCTGGCAGACTTCCCCAAGGAACTGTCCATCAAATACATGACCAGATCGTTCCGTGGGGCTGTGGCTATTGTCACGGAGACGGAGGAGGTGGGCTGCCCTGCCCCTCTCCCCATTCCCTCTCTGCCCACCCCCAAACCCCAGGGGTCCCTCTTTCCCCCTGTCAGAGTAAAGGAGCTAAGGGAAGGGGGCACCCTCGGGGACCCTGAGAAAGGGCAGTGAAGCTCCATTTATAGCTGCAATCCCTGGAACTCAAGAGTGTCAGCTCCAAAGTCATGCAGACCAGAGCTATGATCTAATGTTCAGAGGCGGCCCTCTTTCATCCCACAGTGCACTCGTTCACTTCATAAATATTGAGCATTTACTGTGTACCTGCCCCCTGTGCTGGAGAACACAGAGCGATCGGGGCTGCAATGGGGAAAATATTACCTATGGAAGTAGGGGGACCTGGCCCATTCTGGGGGATTGCGCATGTCAGGGAGGGCTTCATGGGGGAGACCACATGGAGGGGGACATCTTGGAGGCTGGAGGGTATCACCCAGGTTGTGGTTCAGGAAGGGTAGTGAAGGTTCCCTTCAGATGTGTATGGGGGTGGGCATTAGTGCAGAGATGGGGAACTGAGGCCAAGGAAATGGTGAGACCGTGGAAGCTCTCACCATTTGAGAAGAAAAGAGGTCTCGGCCCTAGGAACCGTGGCTGTTAGGGAGTGTGTATGTTAGGGACGTTTAGGTTACAAGTGCTAGAAACCTTAACAGACCAAAAACATTGAAAAACATGATCATAGTGTGTGAGGGCTGGAACCAGAGGTGATTGGGCTCAGGGAAGTAGAGAGATGGCACCACAGAGAAAAGGAAGGGGAGCGCCCTTGGTCCCAGTGGAGGTGAGTTTGCAAACTTCATCCCTCAAACAATGGGGCCACCACACTGGGCAGAGGGTGAGGTGGGATCAGAGGACCCCATGGTCCTGACACACACACATCCGGCTATCGTACCCACAGATCTGGTACCTCCTGGAGGGCACCTACCGGGTGTACCGGCTGTTCCCATCCAAGGGCTGGAAGGTGCACATCAGCTTACAGCTGATGCAACAGTCCTCTCTCTACGCATCCAATGAGACCATGCTGACCCTCTTCTACGAAGGCAGCAAACTGTACCAGGTGCCTGGCGGGGCTCTGCGGGGACATTGGGGCACCGCAGGAGGGCTGACCCCAGCTCACCTGACTCTCCCTTCCCCCTGTAGCTGGTGTACCTTATGAACAACCAGAAGGGCCAGCTGGTCAAGAGGCTTATGCCCGTGGAACAGCTTCTGATGTATCAACAGCACACCAGCCACTATGACTTGGATCGGAAAGGGTGAGAGGACACCGGACCATGACAGGGGTCTGAGGGCTCCCGGCACTGCCCTCCTGAAGCTACCATTTTTGAGAGAGGGGAGACCGAGCTAACCCCAGTGACAGCCTCAGGGCTACGATGGCAGGAGTTCAGCAGTTATGGAAGCTCAGAGGAGGAGCCGAACCTGGCCAGGGGGGAAGGTGCATCAGGGAGGGCTTCAAAGAGGAGGAGGTGTATGCACTGTGACAAGAAGGGTGAGGAAGGATTAGCCAAGTGATAAGGTGGGGAAGGGTGTCCCAGAACGGGAGAACCAGCTGTGCAGAAGCCCTGATGGGAAGGGGGACGAAGTGAGCCTGGTGGTCATGGGGAGAAACTTGGACTTCATCTTGAGGGTCTTGGGGGAGCCATGGATGGGACTAAAGGAAAGGACTGCAGGATCGGATTTTACCGCGTGCCATAATGATGCCTCTGGTCGCTGTCCTGCAGAAGGTGGATCAGAGCAACCCAGGGAGGCAGCTGGATTCGGGGCAGGGACAGGGAACTGGGGTGGAAGGAGGAAGCAGGAGGTGGAACAAAGATAAGAGGTCAAGTGGACAGGCAGATGGGGACTGCCCGTTGAGCAGGGAGGATTCTGGTCTCAGGGATCGAGGGACGTCCGAGGGGATGTGTGAAGAGGCCTCTGGGCAGCAGGGGCTGACGCTGAGGAGGAAGATCGGGGCTGGATTCAATACAGGAAGTGGGTGAGGTGGGAAAGAGGCCTGCGGAAGCTTCCAGTGCGCGGGGTGCCTTAGAGCCAGCAGCCCTTCCCCCCTGCCGCTGCCCAGGGGCTACTTGATGCTCTCCTTCACCAACTTCTGCCCCTTCTCGGTGATGCGCCTGAGGAACCTGCCCGGTCCGCAGAGATACACGCGCCAGGAGCGCTACCGGGCACGGCCACCGCACGTCTTGGAGCGCTCGGGCTTCCACAACGAGAACTCGCTAGCCATCTACCAGGGCCTTATCTACTACCTGCTGTGGCTGCACTCCGTGTACGACAAGGTGGGCGTCCGGCGGCGGGCGGGCAGGCCTGAGACCGGACTCGGGGAGCGGGGAGCGGGGAGCGGGGAGCCGGGAGCCGGCTTAGAGGGCGAGGCTTGTGGAGCGGAGCGCAGCGGGATTGTAGGACTGGAGGACTGGGGGGTGGGGTGGGTGGGGGACGTGGGGGCGGGGCCTGGCTTGAGCAGGACTTCCAGGGGAGGGTGTTGGAGGTGTGGCCGGTTTGAAAGCAGGGTCTGGGGATGCGCTGGGGTGTGTATCTTCTGCTCTGGGTTAGGAGCTGGCATTGAGGCTGGGAGGGGGTCTGGGGATGCCGCTTGCCTCGGGGCCCTCGCCCCACCGCCCAATCCCTTTACGGTGCCGGGCGATCCCTGCAGCCATACGCGGACCCGGTGCACGACCCCACCTGGCGCTGGTGGGAGAAAAACAAACAAGACCAGGTAGGCGGAGCGGATTGGGAGCCGGGAAAGGGGCGGTGCCCGGACACCCCTCACAGTGCCCCCAGCCCCGGCGCTGACTCTGCCGCGCGCATGCGGTACTCCAGGATTACTACTTCTTCCTGGCGAGCAACTGGCGAAGCGCGGGCGGCGTGTTCATAGAAATGGACAGCTACGAAAAGATCTACAACCTCAAGTCCGCGTACGAGCTGCCGGAGCGCATTTTCCTGGACAAGGGCACTGAGTACAGCTTCGCCATCTTCCTGTCGGCGCAGAGCCGCTCGTTCCGGACGATGGCAGACCTCGGTCTGCGCGGGGCCAGAGTCACTCCCGAAGGGCAGGGCGAGGGCTGCCGGAATCTGGGAGCCTGGGGGGAGGGGACACCATCCGAAGGGCGGGGCCTGTGAGGGAGGCCTTAACCCCGTTTACTGTCCCCAGCAGGCACCGTCTTCGAGCTGCATAGCCACGTAGACGTGGGCGTGGTGCTGGCCGACCCCGGCTGCATCGAGGCCTCGGTGAAGCAGGAGGTCCTGATTAATCGCAACGCGGTGCTATTTTCGGTGAGGCTCGGCAGGCAGTTGGGATCAAGGGAGGTTTTTTGTTTTTGTTTTTGTTTTTTGTTTGTTTGTTTTTGAGACAGGGTCTTGCTCTGTCAGGCTGGAGTGCAGTGGCGCGATCACTGCATTCTTGGCCTCCTGGGCTCAAGTGATCCTCCTCCCTCAACCTCCTGAGTAGCTGCAGGCATGCACCACAGTGCCCAGCGAACTTTCTTTTCTTTTTTTCTTTTGAGACGGAGTCTCACTCTGTCGCCCAGGCTGGAGTGCAATGGCACAATCTTGACTCGCTGCAACCTCTGCCTCGCAGGTTCAACCGAGTCTCCTGCCTCATCCTCCCTAGTAGCTGAGATTACAGGTGCACACCACCGCACCCAGCTAATTTTTTGTATTTTTAGTAGAGATGGATTTTTACCATGTTGGCCCGGCTGGTCTTGAACTCCTGACCTCAAATGATCCGCCCACCTCAGCCTCCCAAAGTGCTGGGATTACAGGCGTGAGCCACTGTGCCCAGCCTTAACTTTTTATGTTTTGTAGAGAGGGGGGTCTACCTGTGTTGCCCAGGCTGGTCTCGAATTCCTGGGCTCAAGAGATCCTCACGCCTCGGCGTGAGGTGTGAGGTGTGAGGCACGAGCCACGAGCCACCCTGCGCTTGGCCCCGTTAGCCTATTCCTGAGTAGAAAATGGAAGACTTCCGTTCTCCTACCAGCCCCCACCTCGCCCCAGCTATGGGTTATTTGAACTGTTTGTTGGTCTTTGGGGAGACCTATTCACCCCTTCATTTCTGCCTCTCCCCTCCTTCAACCCCAGATTACGCTCAAGGATAAAAAGGTTTGCTATGACCAAGGCATTAGTGGACACCACCTTATGAAGTCTTCCATGACGGTCAATGTGAGGTCCAAGCCTGGAGGGGAGGGTGCAGGATGGTGGGGAAGCCTGGGCCCACAGGGATCACCATCTTCACCTGCTCCTACCTGCAGGTGGTGGGTTCATCCGGGCTCTGCTTCCAGGAAACGCACGCGGGGGCCCGTATGCAAGTATTGGAGCTTGGGATACTGGGCCCTGGGAGGGGAAGGTTGGGGTCAGGTCTCAACACGGCTAATCCCCTGAGAATCCCACTAATCATTCATAATTTCCTTTCTTCTCATTCTTTCTCATCATTCATCCACCCACCCACTACTACCCATTAACTCCTTTCGTTCTTTTTTTCTTTGAGATGGAGTTTCGCTCTTGTTGCCCGGGCTGGAGTGCGATGGTGCAGTCTTGGCTCACTGCAACCTCCACCTCCTTGGCTCAAGTGATTCTCCTGCTTCAGCCTCCCGAGTAGCTGGGATTACAGGTGCCCACCACCATGCCCAGCTAATTTTTTGTATTTTTAGTGGAAACAGGGTTTCTCCATGTTGGCCAGGCTGGTCGCAAACTCCTGAACTCAAGTGATCCACCCGCCTCAGCCTCCCAAAGTGCTAGGATTCCAGGCATGAGCCTCCACACCCAGCCTAACTCCTTCCATTCATTCATGTTTTCAGAAAGGGCTACCTTCCCAGTTGTGCAGGTTGCACACAAGCTGATGTGTTCCCTCTGATAACTTTTCTGCAGAGGGAGAATAGAGCGAGCAACAGGGCCTTTTTATTTTTTTGAGATGAAGTCTCACTCTTGTCCCCCAAGCTGCAGTGCAATGGCGCATGCAATGGCGCAATCTCGGCTCACTGCAACCTCTGCCTCCCGGGTTCAAGCGATTCTTCTGCCTCAGCCTCCCAAGTAGCTAGGATTACAGGTGCATACCACCATGCCTGGCTAATTTTTTGTATTTTAAGAAGAGATGGAGTTTCACCATGTTGGCCAGGCTAGTCTCAAACTCCTGACCTCAGGTGACCTGCCCACCTCGGCCTCCCAAAGTGTTGGGATTACAAGTGTGAGCCACCACGCCTGGCCCAGGGCCACTTTTTGCAATTGGCACAAAGGTGGCACAAGGGCTGGCCTGGCCCTGCCTTCACATCTCTCTCTTCTTCTGCCCACTCACACATTCCTCATTCAGTTCTTTGGGATCTTGGTTCTTCACTTGCTTATATATGTGATATCGCCTTTGCCCAGGGCAGACACTGAGGCTCAGAGAGGTGCAGTGTAACCCAGGGAGCTAATAAGTGGTAGAGGAGGGGCCTGCCCCAGAGTTCTTGTTCTCACCCACTTCCCTACCCACTCCGGGGCATGCAGATCCCGGTGTTCCTCTCTCCTGGGTTAGAATGACCTTGGGCAGTCAAAAGGGATTGTAACAGCCCCCACCTCCTTAGAGTACATGAGATTTCATGTGCTAGACTGAATAAACAAGGAGGAAGTGTGACCACATCACAGGGTGGGCAAGGGGAAATGTGGCGGGATGAACTCAGAGCAGCGATGGGGCAGAGTAAGTGGGGCCTCATGGGCCATGGTGCGTGAGCTGGTTCTTTGGGAGGGCTCCAAGCAGAGGAGGGACTCGAGGGTCCCCAGGGCCCATCTGGCTGCATGGGGTGGGGGGACATCAATGAGGGAACTGGAAGTAGGGAGACTCTGGAGAAGACAAGGTTGGACAAAACAGGGTGGGGGCAAAGGAGTTGGAGGTTTAAGGGAGAGAATGAGTGGACTCTGCGTCTTTTTTTTTTTTTTTTCGAGACAGAGTCCTGCTCTGTCAGCTGGAGTGCAGTGGCGCAATCTTGGCCTCTGTCTCCCTGGTTCAAGCTGTTCTCCTGCCTCTGCCTCCCGAGTAGCTGGGATTACAGGCATGCGCCACCACACCCAGCTAATTTTTTGTATTTTTAGTAGAGAAAGGGTTTTGCTGTGCTGGCCAGGCTAGTCTCGAACTCTGGATTCAAGTGATTGGCCTGCCTCGGCCTCCCAAAGTGCTGGGATTACAGGCATGAGCCACTGCGCCAAGCCGTTTTAATGATATTAATGACCATATTGCTCTTGGCGGTGAGGGAGAGCCAGGCAGTTGGTGGTGGTGTTTGTGGGAGGGGTACTGTCCTTCCTGCCCCTCACCTTTCCAGGGGCCTGAGGAGACCCTGGCCACTCCCATGAGCCTTTTTTCCTCCCACCGAGGGCAACCTGATGGTGCCAGTGTTCATTGGCTGCCCTCCAGGCAAGCGTCTGGCGTTCGACATCACCTACACTCTGGAATACAGCCGCCTGAAGAACAAACACTACTTTGACTGCGTTCAAGTGGACCCCGAGATGCCCTGCTTTCTCTTCCGGGACAGTGTGTGTCCAGTCCCTTCCCCTGCATCGTTCACTGTCCTCTTGCGCCCACCACTTTGCGCTCTCCCTCCCCGCTCCTCTGCCCACAGGCTACCCACCCTCTTTCCCCCGGCATCTCACTTTCCCCCTTCTCCGTCCTCAGCTTCTCAGGCCAGGCTAATTTCTTCTTCCCGTCTCAACCCCCTCCAACCCCATAGTTTTCTACCCCTTCTTCTTGATTCAAGATTTGGTGACAGGAGACTCCGGCAGTTTCCAGGGCAGGTAAAGGCGTGGCCAACTTGTAGCTAGGGCAGGTGGAGGGAGTGGAAGGGGATGGGTGCAGGACTCGAGACCCGGAGACCAGTCCGTGTGCACTTCTGTCCCTGGTAGCTACGTGCTGCTGGTGGTGGGTGGCGGGCCCACACTGGACACACTCAAGGACTACAACAAGGACGAAATCTACCGCTTCAACAGCCCCTTGGACAAGTAATCCCTGTGGGGCCCCACGCGTAATTGGCCTTGCTTCCCCTGGAGGCCTTTCCCACTTCCAAGCCAAGCCCACCTCATAAGCCCCCGCCTCCGCATCTCAGGTCCCGCCCACAGTGGGGCTCTTAGGATCCCACAGGCAAACTCCTGCAGGGCCCCCCTAACACCATGCCCCCTGCACCCACCTCTGGCCTCCCTCCACACTGACCACTGAGGCCATACCTCCCCCACACCTCCCCAACCCCTGGCTGAGATGACCTCGTCCTACACAGGACCCACAGCCTTATCTGGACCACGAGGACCAAAAGGACCACCAAAGACTCAGCCTTCCACATCATGTCCCATGAGAGCCCGGGTATCGAGTGAGTGCGCAGCCTGGCCCTCTTGGCCCCCATCTGTCGTTAGTCCATCAGGCCCACCCATCCTTTCTGCCCCCAGGAGGCCTCTTGATCCCCAAGTCACACTGACTGCCTTTGTGTTACTCAAATGGGGCTGAACTTTGCACAAGCTGAAGTCCCTGCCTGGAATGCTGCTCCCTCCTCCTCTCGTCGGGCCTTAGGCAGATGCCCCTTCAGCCAGGAGGACTTTTCTGTTTCAGGATGGGACAATTGTCCCTTCGTGGCTCCCATGGTCGCCTGGGGCTCTCCCATCCCGCCCCTGAGTCCCCTACCTGTGCATCCCCATTCTAGAGTGGACAGCCCTGGGCAGTCACTGTCTGGTGTGGGGTCTGTCTCTCCTCCAGAACTGGGTCCTGAATAGACTCATAAATTTGTTTTTATTTTTATTTTTGAGATGGAGTTTCGCTCTTTGTTGCCCACTCTGGAATGCCGTGGCATGATCTCAGCTCACTGCAATCTCCACCTTCCGGGTTCAAGCGATTCTCCTGTCTCAGCCTCCTGTTTGTTTATTTTTTTGAGACAGGCTCCCTCTGTAGTCCACCAGGCTGGAGTGCAGTGGCGCAATGTCAGCTCACTGCAACCTCTGCCTCCCAGGTTCAAGCAACTCTCCTGCCTTAGCCTCCCAAGTAGCTGGGATTACAGGCAACCGCCACCACGCCTGGCTAATTTTTGTATTTTTAGTAGGGATGGGGTTTCACCATGTTGGTCAGGCTGGTCTTGAACTGCTGACCTCAGGTGATCCTCACGCTTCAGCCTCCCAAAGCACTGGGATTACAGGCGCACGCCACCATGCCCGGTTAATTTTTGTTTTTGTTTTTTTCTAGTAGAGATGGAGTTTCACCATATTGGCCAGGCTGGTTAACATAGCATTTATTGAATGAAATAATGAACAAATGAATAAATCAATTCATGGCAGGCATTTATTGATATTTGAATGTGGGTATTAATGAATGAATAAAACAATGGAGAAACAAATTCATATATAGGGGCTCAATAAGTTTCATTCAATGAAAGGAAAAAAATGAAGCCATGAGCAAATGAAGGCAGTGAATGAATGAACAACTTGCGCCTAGTCAGAATTTAACCTGCTCTATTTTTTTATTTTTTAGTTTTATTTATTTTTTTGAGATGGACTCTTGCTCTGTCACCCAGGCTGGAGTACAGTGGTACAATCTCAGCTCACTGCAACTTCCGCCTCTTGGGTTCAAGTGATTCTCCCACCTCAGCCTCCCGTGTAGCTGGGATTACAGGCGCATGCCACCACGCCTGGCTAGTTTTGTAATTTTTAGTAGAGATGGGATTTCACCATGTTGGTCAGGCTGGTCTTGAACTCCTGACCTCAAGTGATCCACCTGCCTCGGCCTCCCAAAGTGCTGGGATTATAGGTGTGAGCCACCGCGCCCGGCCTAACCTGCATTTATTGGATAATGAATAGAGAAGGAAATAAATGAAAGATGTGACTTTGTACCTAATAAGTGCTCAAGCTGTATTTATGGGATAAAGGAATGAAGGGAGCAAAGAATGAATAAGGAGTTGGCACATGATAGGTACAGAGCCTGTAATCTGGATGGATGCACAGTGACAGAGGAATTGACAGATGGAGGCATGAAGGCAGGAGGAAATGAATGAGTAGACAGCCTGTGGCACAGTAGCCGTTCAGTCAGCATGATTGAATGAGTGAATGAAGGAAGGAATGAGGGAAGGCATGAGATCGCACCCATTTGGTCCTCACCGAGAGCGTTGGGGTGGAAGAAGAAATTGGGAGTTGGCACAGACTAGGCATGGTTGGTAGCACAACTGCCTGATCTTTGGCTTGCAGATGGCTCTGTCTGGAGAACGCCCCATGCTATGACAATGTTCCCCAAGGCATCTTCGCCCCTGAATTCTTCTTCAAGGTGTTGGTGAGCAATAGGTGAGCCAGGCAAGTGGCCCAGGTGTGGGTCAGGGGCTGCCCATGGAATGCCTGGCTTCTCCTCTAATCCTGGGTCCCCTCCCAACCTCCACAGAGGAGTGGACACGAGCACCTACTGCAACTACCAGCTCACCTTCCTGCTGCACATCCACGGGCTGCCACTCAGTCCCAAGCGGGCCCTTTTCATCCTCATGGTGAGTGGCTGTCCAGGAGCTGCCCTGCTGGGTGGGCAAGGGCCCACACCTCCACACCTATGCTTGTTGTACTTCACTAATTCATTCCTTCAGTCACTCATCTGGTCATGCCGACTGAACGCCTGCCATGCCACAGGCTGTCTACTCATTCATTTCCTCCTGCCATCATGCCTCCATCTGTCAATTTCCCTGTAACTGTGGATCCAGATTGTGGACTGTGTACCTTATCATGTGCCAACTCTTTATTTATTCTTTGCTCCCTGCAGGTGTCACTCAGCGTGTTTGTGGGCCTGGTGATCTTCTACATTGCCTTCTGCCTCCTGTGGCCCCTCGTGGTGAAGGGCTGCACGATGATCCGGTGGAAGATAAATGATATCATTGCCTCAGAATCCTACTACACCTATGCCTCCATTTCCGGAATGTCGAGCATGCAGTCTCTGAGACGTTCCAGGATGGGCTCCATGTTCAGCTCCAGGATGACAGAGGACAAGGCTGAACCCAAGGAAGCTGTGGAGAGACAGTTGATGACCTGAGTCTGCCGCGTGCCCCAGCCCCCAGTCACTGTCACACTTCCCCTACGAGGCCCATCTTGAAGATGCAGCCTGTCACCCAGCTCAGACCTCTGTTTTGCTTGATGTTTACTTCTCGTTCAGACTCAAATAAAGCCTTTTTTCAGGACCAGCTGTGGGCCCTCTTAAGAGCTTGAGTTCAGAAGGTTTGTACCAGCATAGCTGCACATTAAAATATCATAAACCTCGCTGGGCACTGTAGCTTATGCCTGTAATCCCAGCACTTTGGGAGGCGGAAGCAGGCAGATCACTTCAGGTCAGGAGTTTGAGACCAGCCTGGCCCACATGGTGAAAACCTGCAACCCTGTCTCTACTAAAAATACAAAAAATTAGCTGGGCATGGTGGTGCATGACTGTAATTCCAACTACTTGGGAGGCTGAGACAGGATAATCCCCTGAACCTGGGAGGCAGAAGTTGCAGTGAGCCAAGATTGCGCCACTGCATTCCAGCCTGGGCAACAGACTGAGACTCCCGACTCAACAAAACAATAAATAAAATATCAAAAACCTAGGCCACCTGTTAAATAGTGGCTTCTCTGTGTGCCTGTTGGCTGAGCCCCTCCCCAGGGTGCCCCAGACCTCCCTGTGGTCCAGCAGGATCCTCCACAATCCAGGCCCATTGCTATGGCCCACCATCTGCTCTGATTATTTAGTGTTAAGTATTTTGAATGTCAACACCTATCTAATGTCTTAAGGATGGGACCCTGGTGATGTCAGGATTCTTATTTTAGTTGCAAGTAGCAAGTATTTCCCTCAAATGGTCTACATGAAAATGGTAATTTACAGGCTTCAGGTACAGTTTGATCCAGTAGTCCCCAAGGTCCACAGGATTCAGCCTTCCTTTCTCTGTAGTTTTTTCTTCTCTGTCCTCCTCTGAGTGCAGTCTCTGACCTCAGGACAACTCCTCTCACCATCTGAGGCTAGTTATGCAGTCCATAATCTGGATGGATGCATAGTGACCAATGAATTGACAGATGGAGGCATGAAGGCAGGAGGAAATAAATGAGTAAAAAAATACCCTGTTGCGTGGTAGGCATTCGGTCAGCATTACTGGATGAATGAATGAAGGAGCGAATGAGGACAGGTATGAGACTATGCCTAGTTGGTGCTCACTCAGAGTGTTGGGGTGGAGGAATAAATTGGGATTGGCATCGATTAGGCATGGTTGGTAGCACAAAAACCTAATGAAACTTGACAATAACAAGAGTTGGCAACACTCGTGTGTAAGGTCTGTTGGCTAAGGTTGTTTCCACCACCAAGATTCTATTGAGTCACCTCGTGGTCCAGATGAACACATCATAATCCTGTATCAGCCAAGTCAACATATGATCTGAATATCACCATCTGCATTTCCAGCCAAGATAAAGTGACAGAGACTGGATTTCCCCTCATACTTGAAACTATTTATTTATTTTTGAGATGGAGTCTTGCTCTGTCACCCAGGCTGGAGTGCAGTGGTGCTATCTCGGCTCACTGCAACCTCTGCCTCCTGGGTTCAAGCGATTCTCCTGCCTCAGCCTCCCGAGTGGCTGGGACTACAGACGCATGACACCATGTCCAGCTAATTTTTTGTATTTTTAGTAGAGACAGGGTTTCACCGTGTTAGCCAGGCTGGTCTCGATCTCCCGACCTCGTGATCCATCCACCTCAGCCTCCCGAAGTACTGGAATTACAGGCGTGAGCCACCTGGCCCGGCCGTATCATCGTGGTTTTTTGGGTTTTTTTGTTTTTGTTTTTGTTTTTGTTTTTTTTGAGACGGAGTCTCGCTCTGTTGCCCAGGCTGGAGTGCCGTGGCTGGATCTCAGCTCACTGCAAGCTCCGCCTCCCAGGTTCACGCCATTCTCCCGCCTCAGCCTCCCGAGTAGCTGGGACTACAGGCGCCCGCCACTTCGCCCGGCTACTTTTTTGTATTTTTAGTAGAGACGGGGTTTCACCGTGTTAGCCAGGATGGTCTCGATCTCCTGACCTCGTGATCCACCCGTCTCGGCCTCCTGAAGTGCTGGGATTACAGGCTTGAGCCACCGCGCCCGGCCTGTTTTTGTTTTTTTTTAAATGGAGTTTTGCTCTTGTTGCCTAGGCTGGAGGGCAATGGTGCGATCCTGGCTCACTGCAACCTCCGCCTCCCAAGTTCAAATGATTCTCCTGTCTCAGGCTCCCGAATGAGTAACTGGGATTACAGGCACCCACCACCATGCCTGGATAGATAATTTTTCGTATTTGTAGTAGAGATGGAGTTTCACCATGTTGGCCAAGCTGGTCTCAAACTCCTGACCTCGGGTGATCCACCCACTTCAGCCTCCCAAAGTGCTGAGATTACAGGCGTGAGCCACCACACCCAGCCATCATTTTTGTTTAAAATATTTTTTAACACCACAACTTCTTTCACATATTAATTTACTCATTAATTCAACAAATATATAATTTCTTTTTTTTTTTTTTTGAGCCTGTCACCCGGGCCAGAGTGCAATGGCGATCTTGGTTCACTGCAACCTCTGCCTCCCGGATTCAAGTGCTTCTCCTGCCTCAGCCTCCCAAGGAGCTGGGATTACAGATGCACACCACCATGCCCGGATAATTTTTGGTATTTTTACATTTATTTATTTATTTCTCTGAGAAGGAGTCCCACTCTGTCACCCAGGCTGGAGTGCAGCAGCGTGATCTCAGCACACTGCAAGCTGGTCTCCTGGGTTCAAGCAATTCTCCTGCCTCGGACTTCTGCGTATCCGGGATTACAGGTGCGTGCCACCACGCCCAGCTAATTTTTTTTTTGTATTTTCAGTAGCGATGGGGTTTCGCTATGTTGGCCAGGTTGGTCTCGAACTCCTGACCTCAAGTGATCTACCTGCCTCGGCCTCCCAAAGTGCTGGGATTACAGGCGTGAGCCACCGTGCCCGGCCAACAAATATTTATTGACTGTCGACTGATATTTGCCAAGCACTGAGATACTGGGAATTCAGTGGTGAAGGAAATCGTCCTGCCTCCATGGAGATGACATTCTAAATAGTGGAGACAGAGAGTGAGAGCCCGGCTTGAGAAAAACGTGCTGTCCAGGCGCAGTGGCTCATACCTGTGAATTCCAACACTTTGAGAGGTCAAGGCAGGAAGATCGCTTGAGCTCAGGAGTTCGAGACCAACCTGGGCAGTATGAGTCTCTACAAAAAATTTAAAATAAATTTTTTTTAAAAAGAGAGAAAAAGCGATGTTGAATGTTCAGGTGTAATATCAATCAATGGAGGAAGGAGAAGTTGGTATAAGAAGCTGTGAATACTGGCCAGGCAAGGTGGCTCATGCCTGTAATCCCAGCACTTTGGGAGGCCAGGGCCCGGGGAATTACCTGAGTTCAGGAGTTGGAGACCAGCCTGACCAACATGGTGGAACCTGGGCTCTACTAAAAATACGAAAATTAACTGTATGTGGTGGCACGTGCCTGTAATCCCAGCTACTTGGGAGGCTGGGGCAGAAGAATCACTTGAACCCAGGAGGCGGAGGATGCAGTGAGCCAAGATCGCTCCATTGCACTCCAGCCTGGGCAGCAAGAGCTAAATTCCGTCTCAAAAAAAAAAAAAAAATTGTGAATCCTTCATTTACATATGATATTTAAAGCCATAGAGCTGGATGAGGTTTGTAACTAGTTCGTTTATATAAGCTTGGGAAAAAGATGTGGAAGGATGCATTGAAAAAGAGACTGGAGGCCGGGCGCGGTGGCTCACGCCTGTAATCCCAACACTTTGGGAGGCCGAGACGGGCGGATCACGAGGTCAGGAGATCGAGACCAGCCTGGCGAACACGGTGAAACCCCATCTCTACCAAAAAAATACAAAAAACTAGCCGGGCGAGGTGGCGGGCGCCTGTAGTCCCAGCTACTCGGGAGGCTGAGGCAGGAGAATGGCGTAGACCCGGGAGGCGGAGCTTGCAGTGAGCTGAGATCCGGCCACTGCACTCCAGCCTGGGCGACTGAGCGAGACTCCGTCTCAAAAAAAAAAAAAAAAAAAAAAAAGAAAAAGAGACTGGAGAGGGAGCCCCAGGTATACATCCTAGCTGTTAGTCCGTTGGAAGGTTACCCGGCCTCTCTGTCTATAAAATGAGTAAAACACAGCTCTCCAAACGGCACGACATCGCCACCTATTGGCTGGAGACGCTGCCCCGAAGGCGGAACCTTCAGGACAGCTACGTAGCGTCCCGAACACTCAGACTGAAACCAGGGCAGCCATGTTCATTACTGGAACCGTGAGGTCGGTGGGGCGGGAGGGCGGCGTTGAGACAGCTGTCATTTTCAGTTAGGGCAAAAGCCGACTTCCGGTCACCATCTTGAGTGACGACAGAGGCGGAGCTCCAACTGACATGTTCATTAAGGGCAGGGCTCCGAGGGCGCCACCTCGAGAGCGACAGCGGGCTACCCGTGGCGGGCAGAGGCAGGTTGTAGCCCCGCCCCGGGCCTTGGGCTCCACCTCTCGGCCCCACTTCCGCCGGGCGAGCGTCTGTAGGCGGCGTTGCCGTAAATCGGGCGGTCGGCTTGCCGCATCACGCAACATGGCGGCCGCGGCGGTGAACGGGGCGGCAGGCTTCTCGAGCTCGGGGCCCGCGGCGACCTCGGGCGCTGTCCTACAAGCCGCGACCGGCATGTACGAGCAACTCAAGGGCGAGTGGAATCGTAAAAGCCCCAATCTTAGCAAGTGCGGGGAAGAGCTGGGCCGGCTAAAGGTAAGGTTGGCAGGCCCAGGAAACCGAGTGTTGCGGGCGTGGGGGGCGCTACGAGGCGTCTGGACCCAACCAAGTCCCGGGCCGCGGAATACACCTCGGTGCCAGCGAGACTGAGGCGGGCTGGGGGATCCGACGGGGCGAAAGATTTGGAGCAGCCAAAGTGGCGGCCCGGAGGGGGTCAAGAAGCGAGAGAGGACAGGGCGCGGTGGTTCACGCCTGTAATCGCAGCACTTGGCGGGGGAGCATCACTTAAGCCCAAGAGTTCAAGATCAGCTTGAGCAACAAAGCGAGACTCTTGTCTCTACACTTTTTTTTTTTTTTTTTTTTCAGGTGAGAGATGACTGGAATGGACCTACGCGGGCGTGGTGGGGGAATGATGGAAAGACTCGGGATGGCAGAATGAGTGAGGGGTTAGAGTTTTGGTGCTT